TTTTTCGGAAGCCGAATGTCCAATGTGGCTGTTGGCTACTGTTTCTGGGGCACCCGCACCAATCAGAACCTGCACCTTGGTTTTCGAATGTTTCAGGAGTCGAACAGACATCCGGAATGGATTAAGTTCAAGAAACAAGGTTCCACTGTATAATGGAACAGAACAAAACAAAACACCAGGCTTCCCGAAACAGGGCTGCCTTCATATGTCTACCTTCTTCATGCCAAGTGAATGCTCTACCACTGAGCTACAGCCCTTCTCTTGAACTTGAGTAGCTTATTTAGAAAGTGACTACATATTGGGGGTGGGGGGAGTCTATATACATACACCCAGTTCCAGAAGGTGGCTCCTTGTCAGGACTAGAGAAGAACACATGCCCCTGGCATCTCCAGGTAGGACTGGAAATATCATGAAATCATAGAATTGTAGACTTAGAAGGGACCACAAGGGTCATCTAAGTCCAACCCCCTACTAGACCAAATCTCTCAAGAGCTCCTGCCACTGTGGGAAATAACTGTACTAAATGGACCAAGGGGCTGACTTGGTGTAAGGTAGCTTCCTATGTAAGCAAGGATGTTTAGTATTCACATCTTACAATTTGTAGCTGTATCTTGCTCTCCGCTTTCTCAGAACTTGAAAATGTGTCAGATCCCATGCCTGTTGTACTTTGAAACTCATGGCCAAACTAAATGTAAACTTAAGTGTGTTACTACATTTCATATGCATGGTTAAAAAATGCAAATAATCACTGGTTGTGATCAAGATCAAAATGAGCAGGAAGTGGGAATATAAACCTTCCCCACCCCCCATACACAATGCTAATGAAAACCCACCCCCAACACTAAGTTTGGTCCTCCTAGGAACTTGTTCCCAAGTGATTGTGCTTAGAACCAAAGGAATATTTGTATAACATTTACAGACTTAACCATTAATTGGCAGCTCTTTGATCTCCTCTCCGTAAATAAGAACATCTGCATTAAGCAACAAGACAATAGGAATATTTATGGCTGGTGGTATAAGTACAGTACAGTCTGGGAGGAAATTAACAGCAGCTTGAAGATGCAAGAAGGCCACAGGAATAGTTTGATTAGGGGAATAGTTTGATTAGACAATAATGTAGGCTGCTTTGAAGTTTTCGAGATAGAGCAAAAGTCAAGGTAAACAGAAATGGCCTATGAAAGAAGAAAATCAACATAATCACTTGGGTCAGCCTGGTTCAAACAAGCCAACCATTTGGCGTTTTAGATGCCATTGTGTACCACAACACATCAAAAGCCTTTGTTTGCTTTGGGGTGGGAAAAGCTGGCAGCAAGAGAATCTTGCAGATACATACAATCATGTCTTATGCCAATTTCACTGTAAACAACTAGGATTGAAACAGATGTAATGCAGGAGATCATTATTATCTTGAACTGTATAAAGTGTGGGGAGGGGGAGTTCGAGCAGCAGCACTTGGGGTGGGGAATGCTGTTGTATTTTGCAAGGGAAAACCAGGACTTCTAAAATTTCAAAGAACACTTAGCTTTTAACAGTAAGGTAAAGGTAAAAGACCCCTGGACAGTTAAGTCCAGTCAAAGGCGACAATGAGGTCGCGGCACACATTTTGCTTTCAGGCCAAGGGAGCCAGTGTTTGTCCACAGACAGCTTTCCGGGTCATGTGTCCACCATGACTAAACCACTTCTGGTGCAATGGAAGTGATGGAAACCAAAGCGCACAGAAACACTATTTACCTTCCCGCCACTGTGGTACCTATTTATCTACTTGCACGGGCGTGCTTTCAAACTGCTAGGTTGGCAGGAGCTGGGACAGGAGCAGAGTCCATAGTAGGTGTGGCCAGAGGCAAAATGTAGGCAGGGCCAGTGGCAAATGACTTTGTTAAGCATACTGCATCCCAGCTGTAGAAAAGCCCAGTTTGTCACCCACCCATCCTCTGCATCCTCCATTCAGGCAAGCAAGAGGCATCATGACATAGTTAAAGGACATATTCCAGGCAGTCCAAAGAACCTGAGGAGCACATAGACCAAGGCATGTGTAAGGTGCCACCTGGGTAGGGAATATGATCTAGGAAGCGCTTCGAGGGCCACAGAGTCCCTCTGCTGCATTCAGTCTCTCCTACCTGAGGGTGAACATCTGACACTAAGTGTATAGATGAATTACTATGTTATGAAATGATGCGTGTCTAAAAAGTGTGTCAACGTGGACATTTGGAAAGCTCTGGGTTAGAGCGTTGGACTATGACTTGGAAGACCAGGTTTCCAATCCTCACTCATTCATGAAGGTTACCAGGGGACAGTGGACCAGCCACTGTCTAACCTACCACACAGGTTGTTGTGAGGATAAGATGGGGAGGAAAAGGCAGTATATAACTGTAAGGAATGCAATCAACACCATGCTATGGAAAAATCAGCTACATGTTTACAATCGAGGACAGTCTGATTTGCATGGGATATGCTGAACTTTGTAGAATTTGTAGCTTTAGTGGTAGAAGTCATAGAAGGCCTTGAAATAGTAGATGCAAGTCATGGACGCTTCACCTGGAATGATGGAGCCTTTTACAAGCACTGGATGAGGTCTTCAAACTGTGCAAAACAGATATGTGCAGTAAGTATCCAGCCCTCAGTTTGTACCCACATACATTTACTTAATCCATTTAACTATATCATAGGTGAATAAGCATATAAGTTAAGCTACAGTGGTTAGGCATGCTGCAGTTAAGTCCTAAATTACATGGAGTATTTGTAGAGTGAACGGGAGACCCTGATAGAGATCTCAGCATGGGTAACTTTGAGGATCACGTCAACATTAATGGTTTGAGGATGTTATTATCTATAGTTTGGTTGCCACTATTTTGCTAGGATCATTTCTACCTAAATGCCTAGAGGTTAACACAACTATTGGGATTCAAAGGACTTTAACATGAGCCAAAGGAAATTATTCCCACCTGTGCGCCAAGGCAACCACACAGACATACACACGCAATTGTTTTATTTGGGGTTCACGTGTAAGAGTTGCTTGCATACTCTCTCTCCTTATTTCGTTACTAGAGGGCATCCAATAATCCATGGGTCAAGTCCAGAATGCTGCCTCCATTTTGAGAAGTGGCATTTTCCTTGTGCATTCCTCTTCTCTTTTTTTAATATTTTGTGTTTCTCTTTAAAGAAATATGTCATGGTTGTTTTCCAGCAGATGCAGAAACTCTTGAATTTTGCAATGGCATTTTGATGTAGCATTAATACAGTTTCTGTTTGTTGGGCTTACATCCGTATTTATTCCTCTGCCACAGCCCAATAGGCAACACAAATAAGTCTTTGCACATAATTAGGACTGTGCATTTATGGCTTTCCCACATTGTATTTGAGCTTCGGTGCAAGACTCCCACAGGATTTTTTTAATAGGGGACAGTGGTCCTGTGTGGAATTCTTGCGTAACAGATTGGCAACAGGAAGGGAAAAGGGAATTGCCTTGTAGGAGAGAATTAGGTTCATTGGCAAGAGATTTTTCTTTTTTTTAATAACACATAAGCAGGTGCGCAATTTTTGAGCTGCCAAGTATGAGTGCACAGCCTGCAGGCTAAAAAAGTTCTAAAAGCTCCAAAATACAAGGATACTATTGCAAAGGAGAGAACATCATAGCTGCTGATTGTATTTCCTCGATGAGTGCTTAAGATGACTCTCGTGTAAACACTGGCAGTGTCACTTTTCACAGATGACACACACAGTGCCATTAACTGTCCGCCTACAGTATTCAGAACTGCAGTTGTGTTTTGTTTTGGTTTTTTCCAGTAAAGGTATCAGTTTTGGGGAGTAGTTGGCAATCCTTCAAAGAAAGAGGTCATTTCCCCATAATAAGCCATCTTGTTTTACAGGAAAATATATAAATAAATTTTAGGGAATCCTAAAATTTACATGTACACCTAGAACAACAATTTTTTAAAAGGAGCACCAATCCTGAGAGTGTGTCATGCAATTCCTTTGTACATAATATTGCAAAATCTACTTTTTGGAGTTCAAGGGTACAAAATTCATTTACATCAAAATAATAAAGTGATGGACTTTTGCCCATTTGCAAAGAGTTTACAGAAGGAACAGTTTAATAGCCAGACAGCACTAATTTATTTTGTGACTGTCGCTGGCAAGGGACTCGCTTTGTAATTATAACAGACGAACTGGAGGAGGGGGAAGCAAGGATTAAATATGGACCTAAAGCAAAGTCAAGAGCTCACAGTTGGCACCTTCTCCAAATTTTGATTTGTCCCTTTGGGAGAAGCAGGCACGTTAAACAATATGTAAATAAAATGACCATAACACGACAGGCATGTAGTTGAAGCATATTCATTGTATGTTTGAAATTACTACTCGAGAGTGAACAAGAAAATGCAGCTACCTGTGATTCCCCAATAGTGTCAAGAAAGCTCAGATGATGTTCCAAGGACTAACTCTTAATTGTGGAACACCAAGGTTAGTAATTTTAGTTACACAGAGGAAGATTTATGTTATATCCATGATATTTGTCATGAGTCCTCCTTCATCAGTTGATTCTGAATATAGCCACAACATACTGCTCAACTAACAACTAGGAATTATCAGTTATACACTCCATTATTTTCTTGTGCAATAATAAGAATTTTGTCTAGTCAACTGTCTTTTTGCTTGGTATTTTGAAAACTTGCGCAGTGCAGTCTTTTCCTCACTCTTTCCCCACACAAAAAGGGCTATATCGAGAGCCTTCACCAGTACATGAGAAAATCAGCCATAGGTACACCTGTTGTATATATGAAGCGTTATGAAAGACCTTAACTTGAGGGGAAAACAGAGGGCGGATCTACACTAGTCATCTAGAACATTAAAAATGTGTTATTAAAATGTGGCAACAGAGGGTGCTATAAAAATAATTCAGCTAATCCACAAAAATAACCCGCTAACTAATGTGTATCCTGTGGTAGCTCATGCTAAACCACCACTTGCTCTTTATTGTGTTTAAAGAGTAATTTTTGGTGTTCAACTGCACACCATGAGATACAACTAAATTTAATGTAGACTACAGGTGACTAAACTGCGGCTCCAACTAACATCATCCCTGACCATTGGTCATGTTGATTTTGGCTGATGGGAGTTTGGAGGTTCTAGCAGAGAAGTGTAGCTATCACATATCTTTGGCCAAGGAGTAGTGAATGAGGAAGGGGACACCCACCTGGTCAATCAGACCAGTCAAATCAACCCTGCAAGTCAAAGGAGTGAAAGACGTTGCAGTCACATCAGGGAGGTGGAGATCAACAATCTCCAAAGCTTCCTCATCATTTCAACAAATGTTGAGATAATTGAAATTTGGCCTCCCCACACCCACACATACACAAACTGATCGGACCAACAGCACTTTTAATACAGTTAACAAACATTCTTTTATAAGACTTTCCAATGACAAGAAAAATCATCCACAATCAGGCATAGGGTTTTGAACACAGAGTACCAATGCATCTGTTACAAGTGAAAATTGTCAAAATGCAATGCTCATTTGTATGAATAGTTTTAATGCTTAATTAATAGCATGTGCTTTTCTGGAAACATTTTGCAGTTTAGCATGCTGCTACCTACCCCCATCCCATTTTTGCCATACAAGCCAAAATATGCCTTTTTTCTATTTGATCTGGACTCCCAGAACAGTAAAGTCTGCATTATTACAAGGGCAGTCTCAAAAGAATACCTACTTAAACCAGCACGAAATGCCTACCCAGTACAGACTTGTTTGTATAAGGCATGATGGCAACAAGCATTGTCCAGAATAGCAAGAATGAGGCACCGAAACATACCAGACACTGGATATCATTGCTTCAGCAGACAGCATTTTTTCTCTTTTTCTCTTATTACACACACAGTAACAAAATTTAGGAAATCGAAATTTGTGGTATTCTGGCTGATTATTCATTTGCATTAATTCAACATGTATGCATGATATTGACTGTTCAGCTGTTGTTAACTGGGGGAAAAACACACTTGGCTTTCCACCTTTTGCTAATTACTAAAAGGGTAAGCTCATACAGCCCTACTTAAAACTACATATACTTAGTTTTAAGTATATGCAGACTTCATTCTCCATCTTCATAATATGAACCTTCTTAATATGAACAATTAGTAATGCAGTCGGATAAGGAAGATACATTTTCAAAGCAGGTACTATGTTGAAAAGAGATGGACACACTTTACTATCCTCAATCTTAGGGCACACATCTTCATAAAATCCAAGATTAGTCCAGATCAATGCTTGTTCCACATTGGAGCTGCTATTGGCCCTTGTGGAGACCTTTCAACCACAACAAACTCATCGGGGTTGCCAACTGCTTGATAGTGGATTAACAGGTCCTGGATAGCACGTTCTTCTATCTGGAAGAAGAGAGTAACAAAGGGGAGGGTGATGCTTTTTGAAATCTGACAGGGCTAAGGATGCTGTTTACACAAGCAGAGAAGAACGGATGTCACCAGACCCTTAAGCCTCAAAGTGCCCAAATCTTCTGGCAAACTCAGTAGCACAGCAAAGCCTCGCAAAAGGGAATTAACTGTAATCCCACATTCTCCCAGATTCTCCCGTTAAGGAAACAACACATCCAACTTCTCTTGAACCATGGCACAAGGGAATCAACTGAACACATAGATCTAACTATCGGTTAGGACTAGTTAAATCGAGGGAAGGGCCTCCAGTTGTTGCTCCAGCTGAATCTCATACCAAATTGGGCCTGGAGCAGTTTAAGGCATTGGGTGATTTGTGAGTTGGGGGGGTGGACAGAATGCAGAGGATGCAGGAAGTCTGCCTGCATCTCCTTCTCCCCTGCCCCAACTGCATGCTTAGTTAGGCTTTAGAACCCTAATTAAACACAGTTCAAGGCTCCTGATTCACTCTATTCAGATTCAAGTTGACTAGATTAGAGATGCTCTGAAATGTCAGATCAGGCCCCAAATCGGCTTCAGTGGGGACATTCCCAGCCCTGTTGTTAGACTCCCTACTCCAATCAGCCCCACCCAGAATGACCAACAGTCAGGATGAGGTGAGCTGTAGTCCAACAAGACCTGGAAGGTGGTGGAATTATGAAATGAGAAATAAACAAATAATACTGAACTGGCATTAAGAAAATACTTGACGTGAAGGCATGTGAATAACACAGCATATCATAAACAATGTTATATCAGATTGTATTTTCAAAAAGTGGTTGTAAACAGCTTGTCGGGGCCAAAGGTCTCAGTAAAAATGTACTTAATAAAATTAAAAGAATGGTAATCAGCCACTCTTAACATATTGTACTGAGCATTTTGCCTTACCTGGATCAAAGCTAAAGGTTTCTCTCTACTCCGGATGAGAGCAGCTTCTTGCTGGAGTTCTTCCTCTACAATTTCTGCAAATGTGATAGTTGTTGCTACAACTGGACTCATAACGGATGCTGCTAACCAAGGGCTGCAAGGTAGATTACCAAATGAAAGATGTCACCACATCGCAGAAGACATTTTCCTACAAATACTTTTAATTACAAATCCAACTTACTTCAGATTTTCCGACAGTGTTGGTTCATTAAAATGTTGATTTTCAGCCCCAACAGCAGTGGCAGTTGAGCACCTAGAGACACAAATAAAATATTAACAGAAGAACTGTTGATTAAAAACATCACCTAAGGAAGTAAAAAGGTTGCCAGCCAACATGAATTCTGGTCTCTGGAATAGTATGAGGAATACAGATTTTGACTAGAATTTGTTTTCTATTTCTTTTTTAAAAAATAAATCCCACATTTTCCATTTTGATTAAAAACAACAACAACAAGGCAAGTTTTATTTATCTATAGAAACCAGAGCATCTATTTATGAAAAGGATGGGAGTGGGGATAGAAGTCACCTCCGGGATGGCATGGCTCAGGGTAGAGATTATTATTTTTAACAGCCACGCAGAAAGTAGACTATACCCCTCTCTCTATTCCCCCCCCCAACTCCTTCACTTACATTAAACTGGTGTGCAAACCCAAAGAAGTAACATTATACACACGTCTCACTTGAACTGCTTCTGAGAATAAGCTTCCCTAAGCCACTTCACTGATTAAGCTATCAAATTAGACATATCTATACGATATTATGGAAGTACCGTAAGTGATCTATCATTTATTCTGTTCAGTAATTTATGATAGCTTTAAAACAATGAAATATAGCATGCTATCAGAACATATATTCAACTAACATGAGATGCTCTGTATGTAAGCACTTAAATAGCTTTTTATATTGATGTGCACAACTTCCGTGCTCGCCAGAAACATGCAAATAAATGTTATACTTTCTCACCTCAGAGATTTTTGATCTTGTGCATCTTCCATCACTTTAGCACAATGTTTTCCAGAACTGGCACCAACTGTTCTTTTCCCTTCCTCCAAGAGATTACGGAATGACTTTGGCGAAGCAGATTGCAATGAAGAAGCCCTTTAGCAGAAAAGAGGGATAAAGTCTCAAACCCTTGTACCTTTTGTGCTATATTTGAGTCACACCAAACTAAATGAATCAAACACTGCTATGTTGTAACTTCCAGAAGATCCTAGAGATTTTTCTGTCTGAAAATTATTTTACCAACAGACTAAAATTGTGTGAAAAATTAAGATAAATCTGTTGCATGTCCATGGCTGTTTATTATTTACTTAAAGAGTATTTATACCCTGAAAGGGACGCGGGTGGAGCTGTGGGCTAAATCACAGAGCCTAGGACTTGCTGATCAGAAGGTCGGCGGTTCGAATCCCCGCAATGGGGTCAGCTCCCGTTGCTCGGTCCCTGCTCCTGCCAACCCAGCAGTTCTAAAGCACGTCAAAGTGCAAGTAGATAAATAGGTACCGCTCTGGCGGGAAGGTAAACGGTGTTTCCGTGCGCTGCTCTGGTTCGCCAGAAGCGGCTTAATCATGCTGGCCACATGACCTGGAAGCTGTATGCCGGCTCCCTCGGCCAATAAAGCGAGATGAACGCCACAACCCCAGAGTCGGTCACGATTGGACCTAATGGTCAGGGGTCCCTTTACCTTTACCTATTTATACCCTACCAACCAACTGGAGTTATTGAGTCATCTTAAGTATACTGAAGACCCTACAAAATAGATAGGAGTTACTAGGCAAAAGTGCTTACTAGCCTCACCCAGCACTCCCAAACTTGAGTCCCTAGATGTTGGACTACACATTCCATAGAGACTGGTTGGGGATGACAGAAATTGTAGTCCAACAACAACTGAAGACCAAAGATGGATGAAGGCTGCAGACACATACTCTAGTACTAATGCAATTGGGAACAGGGGGTAAAAGATCTGGTTATTCCCCAACTATTCACAAACAGTGAGGCATCACTTTACATTACCATTAGTTACACTGAAACATTGTTGCCCATTGGATAGAGCCTTTCGAGTATTTTTAACATTGTTGTAAATATCTAAGCACAGTCTATAAATAGCTTTTTTTGAATGACAATGGCCATTGACTTTGGAGGGCTCCGGCTCCCTCAAATATTTTATGGGGGGAGTGTAGGGGCATTGGCCCCTAGGAGTTGGCTCCTATGGACTGGAGAAAGCTTTTGCATGTGACTTGAAAGATCATTGAGGGCTGAAACGGTCAGACTGAATACAAGATAACTTCACAGGCTCATAGTCAGCATCCCTGCTGTAGCAAAGCTGAAGAGAAGAATAATATAAGCCACGCAGAAAGTCATCTGCTACTACCCTTGCAGCTCTGGAACCTGTCTCCTTCTTTAGGTTTGGGCCAATTTCAAAGGAAGTTACACATTTCTATTTGGACAGATTAGTCAGCAGGGATTATTTTAACTGTACTATTCCATCAGTTTTGCATAGCAGTAAATACAACTCTCCTATTGCAAAGTGTTTTTTGTGTGCTGCTATAATTTTATCTTGTTTGAATTAGAGGCTGGTGCAAAGGCCTAATAAAAGACAGTGGAGGAAAGAGGCCTAGGAAAAAGCCCCAAGTGAGGAACACAGAAAGATGCCTTATGCTAAGTCAGACCACTGGTCCAATGAGCTCAGTACTGCCGAAACTGATGGGCAGAGGGCAAGTGGCTTTCCAGAAAAAGCAAGTGCTCTACCACTGAGCTACAGCCCTTTACTTGTACACAGTAAGTATCGTGCTCCAAGCTTTGCCTGCTGGATGTTAAAAGCTCTCGTTCTCTAGAAGGATACATTGCTGTGCAGACTTTTGTTATAACTGAAGTGTCAATGTTGCTGGCCCCTATAGGTCAAGTCCATCCCAAGCTTCTCCAAGCTTTTTCATATAACTGTTAATTAATATACCACAAGCCCTAGGCATTAGAAGTGAAATAAATGCTATTTATCAACATTCAAAACCGCTCTGTCACAAGAGACTAGGGCCCTGCGGGACTTGACATCTTTCCGCAGGGCCTGCAAGACAGAGCTGTTAGCCGCTCTGAGCCTGGCTTCGGCTGGCGAGGGCGGGATATAAATAAAAATTATTATTATTATTATTATTATTATTATTATTATTATCTGAAATGTTTGTCATGATGCCAATTTAGCTTTCTATTCCATCCTGTCAGAAGATGATTGAAATGTTATATGCAAGCAGCATCTCTCAGCAAAGGTATTACTTCACTCCCCCACCAAATACTATTACAGTGGTACCTCAGGTTACATACGCTTCAGGTTACATATGCTTCAGGTTACAGACTCCGCTAACCCAGAAATAGTGCTTCAGGTTAAGAACTTTGCTTCAGGATGAGAACAGAAATCGTGCTCCAGCGGCGTGGCGGCAGCAGGAGGCCCCATTAGCTAAAGTGGTGCTTCAGGTTAAGAACAGTTTCAGGTTAAGTATGGACCTCCGGAACGAATTAAGTACTTAACCTGAGGTACCACTGTATAATAAGTGCACCTTGAAAAGTTGGTCAGAGGTATTTTTTGCTGGGAGTGTGTGCTAGTTTACCTTCAACCTTTTATTTGCTTGCCAACAATTGTGCTTCCAAAAATGCTCAACACTGGGTTTGTTTTTATTAATTAATCTTCAAAGAACACTCCACAGTTATAACCCCCCCCCCCACGCAAACCATGAAACTAGAGGTTTCTTTTGGCAAGTATGGTTTAAGATATATTGAGTCTCCATGTCAACCAAAAAAAGAAGAAGAAGAAAGTTCCAGAAGGTCCCACACCCATCTGGCATGTTGTCTTGCCAGTAGAGCTGCTGAATTTCCAAGACAAGGATCTTGTTTCACTGCAAAACAAAAGTTCTGGAGAATGCCACATACTGCAAGCACGGAAACCTCAACGTGGTGCCAAATGTATGCATGTGAGTTCATTTGGGCTTCAAAGCAGTCAGGGTTATACCAGAACTCAACAACGTTAAGACAAATGCAAACTCTTTTCTGTCACTCTAAATTAGTTAAGTCAAGAATCCTTAATGAGAACCATGTTGTTAATGAGGAATTGTCATCAATCCAGCAGTAGTGTTTGTATATATATATATATATATATATATATTCAAATATATATATATATTCAAAAAGGACATTAAAATAAATTCCATTATCCAATGAGCCATAATTTTTTTAAAAGAAAAAAATACTATAAGATTTCACACTGATGGTCTGCTTAAAGCTTTTAGGGGGTTTGCCATTTTCCATTTTTTGCAGCCAAATGAATTTTATGAAGGAAGTTTGGCCATCTATGCCCACATTAAAATTAAACCAAAACTCATTCCACAGCTGAAGTACACCAATGCATGCCAGTGTAATGTATTGTAGTGGAAAGAAAAATAAATTTCCAACCATGTTGAAATGTCTGCTCAGCTATGGAGCTCACTGTGTAATATTGGCCTAGTCATCATCTCTCAGCCAATCCAAGTTCAAAGGGCTGTTGAGAGTATGCAGTAGGAAAATGTCATGTATCCTGAGCTCCTGGTAGGAAGCACAGGATACAAACATGACAGATATATAATGCAATTTTAAAAGGTGCCCAGTGTGTTTCCCTCCCTCACCTTGGGCTACTGTAGAAAACTACAAAACTTTGGAAATGCTTTGGAAAATGCAATATTCACTTACTTTGTACAAGGTCCCAGATGCAATCTAAGACAACTCTAGTTAAAAAGAAAGGTGCAAAAGAGAAGGAAAGAATTCTGGCAAGACGGTGAACAGCACTAAGTTAGATGGGTCAACAGCATGATTCTGTAGAAGGCAGCTTGACCGAGAAAATATAGATGATTGCAATGGCCTGGTTTTCCAGACTCTTGAAACCCTACTGATCAGTTATTCCAAATTAACGTATCACACTTCATACAGAGTAGTCAACTCCTCAAAATTAGCACTGCAGTTAGTCGTTTGTATATATAGGTTTGTTCATGAACCCTGAGAAAGCTTGCCCACACCAGAAAAGAGATGCTTCTGAAAACACTACTTGGGTTCAGGTAAATTCCTCAGCACTTAGTAAGTTACTTAGGTGTTCTGCTCAGCTGAAACAAAGCTTATTTTAAAGACTGAAATAGAGTCCAACAAACATTAACACTAAGGCATATTAAGAAACATACCACACATTCCCTGGTTTTGCAGCATTTTGGGGTGTTGGTGGCATGGCTGCCTCTGGCACAATCTCTGGGCTGTTATCCTTAGCAGCCATAGCAATCAGCTTCCTTTGCTTCTGAGAAAGCTTACTTCCATGAGAAGTGGGTCTACTAAAAATTACAAACAGAAACGTGATAACCACACAAATAATCACACAAACTAACAGCTCAATGGACTTTCTTACTTATGTAGGTCCTAAATTAGCAAAAGTACAGAAACTCCATAGCTGTGATACCACCAGTGGAGGCGGGGGAGGGAGGCACAAATCTTTCAATTCTATCCCTCCTGATCTGTTTTTACACAATCATGCAATTAATAAACAATATTTCTGAGGCAAGACAGGTGCTATATCATCAGGTAGATCAGAGCCCCATAAAATTATTTCCAAAATAAAGTTTCAAAGCCCCCCCTCAAAAATTAGGAATTTATAAGTAAGTTAAGAATTTAAATTAACACAAATAGATCTTATCATTTCTCTTATTAAATCATTTTCTTTTACCAACCCTGAATTTATCTTTGGCATGCTTCCACATTTTTGCATGTTTTCTTCAATTTCCATAATAGTTCTTAAATCCATAGCAGGGGGACTGGCAGGACTGAATGAAACAACAACAACACCACAACAAGTTGTTACTTTTCAAGACATCCATTTTTACTTATCTTCTACTTGCCAAGTACCACTGAAATATTCTATATCTTGCATATATTTTGTAACCGGATGTATAATTTATGTCTCCTTCCTCAATTATGGCAAACCTCAAATAGAATGTTTTATATATTTTCCAGAGAACACATGCAAACATCAGGGACACTTTTAGTTTCACTGACGATGCCCAATAACATTAACTTTTAGTTTGTGTGAAGTTTGGTGACTTTTCTTTCAAAGCCTACCATGAAGTAGATCCTTAAAAGCCAGCACGTTTGGGCTGCAACTTTTACACAGCTAAAGTCGTAGTAACTCCCAATGAAAAGGGGAAAGTAGCACTTTCAACACAGAGTCAATAAAATTGCTTTTAACTTAATGTGCATAACTACCACTAAATAACCTGGTCATCTGATGCGTCAGAAAACATGTCAACAACTATGCAGGCCAAATGCCCTCTGGAATGTGAACTTCCCTTCCACAATGAAGACTCACTAGGATGGAGGAGAAATTCAATTCACATTTTAACTTACCTAATTCATGGCATCAGCAACCGACTCAAATACTGTTAATAACTCAGCACATGACACACGTGGGAACAAACAAAATATATACCTAAAAGAGCTGATAACCCAGTTGGAAGAGCTTGCGGAGGTGTTTTTGTTGTTAGGAATGCACTGTGGAAGAGATATTTTTTGCAACGATGTTCTCTCGGGTATTTTCACCTCTTTTTTAGCATTTGGAACGTGTGCGCGGGAAACACACATTTTCTCTTTCATCTAAAGTCAAAGCACACTAAAATTACACAGTTTTAAGACACAATATGTGCATTTACGGACAAATATGATGAGAACAAAACCAGATTCTGCGTTTTATCCAAAGTAGATCCAGAGAGCTATTTCGGCATGCCCATGAGCTTGGCATGAATCTCATATTCTGTGGGATTTTCAACACCCTTCGGCTTTAGAAATGGTTTGCCATGCAACAGTGTGGAAGGTCTGTGGCTTAACATGTCAAAAGCCCTGCATGGTGCTCTGGACTGCTCTGTGAACGTATTTCAAGAGTGTAATCATGTTCACAGTAAGTGGTATTTATAAGAGCTACAGTCCTTCAAGTTTTAAGAGAATCCTTTTATAACTTATTCATATTACTGCATCCAATACAACTATTCAATTAAATGCAACAATGTAGCCATTTCGCGCCTTTAAAATTTATGCTACATTAAGCAAAGAAGGTATTCTGTTATGTGGCATACATAAAGATTAGAAAGAAGCCAACTAAAGAAGAGACGGGTTATCTGCATTATTCAGTTACCAAATGCATATACATTAAATGTGTCTCAACACGGCCTCACCAGAATTTTGAAGACCCATCAAGGTTTGCTTGGTGTTCAAGAAGATCCCCAAGCTTTTTTGCTCTTTTTTTTTTTTTTAGCAAACTCAAAAGCAAAAAAAAAAGAAAAGATTGGCAAACATGTTTAAAAACATTAGATGCTGTGTTTTATTTAATTAGTAAACACTGAGGCAAAAAGAGAAATTAAAATGCTCTAACCTCAACTTTATCTGCATTGAATCCTGCTGTGAAGTCAGGGGACTGCAAATCTCTGGGGCTATTCACTCCTACGTAGCTACCTTCAGAATCCGAGGTCAGCATTTCAGGGAGGGATTCAATGGAGTTGGTTTTATCTAGTTTCAGTATCCCTACAAGTATTAGCAGAGGAAGGAAAAAAGAAATGGTTAGTCTCTGTAATTCAAGCTTGATTAACACCATATCCTGGCAATGTAAGTTCCCTGAGATGCAAAAGTTGTTTGAGTTGGGGTGGGGATTGCTATCCTATGCCTTACAGCCCATCTGCTTGACTTCAAAAGATCCAGCCCTGATCTCACCCTGATCTCACACGAGCCAGTTTAGCAGATAGCTTCCTCACTCCAATCTCAGCATTTACTCTTCACTACTTATCTGTACAGTGGTACCTCGGGTTAAGAACTTAATTTGTTCTGGAGGTCCTTTCTTAACCTGAAACTGTTCTTAACCTGAGGTACCACTTTAGCTAATGGGGCCTCCTGCCGCCATCACACCGACGCCACATGATTTCATCCTGAAGCAAAGTTCTTAACCCGAGGTACTATTTCTGGATTCGCAGAGTCTGTAACCTAAAGCGTCTGTAACCCGAGGTACCACTGTACTTTCTGGGAAATGAAGAGGCACGGGGAGAGCCCTGTCTGTTGTTCCCAATGCCTTTACAGGCTCCTGTTAAGGAAACTGAGCCCTGTGCAGGAACAGAAGAGTGTCTTCTGCTTCTCCTGATGCCCAGTGCTACTGCTGCCTGTGCTGGGGCAGCAGCCAAACTGGACGCTAAGGAGTATGTATGCATGTATGTATTCTGACATCCCTTGAAGTTGTTTGTTTCTGCAAGGTCCTGTTGAGGCTCTGGGAGTCAACACCAGTGATCAGGTTATTTATTATGCATTGTATAGTTGTACTGTAATAATGATACAAACAAGCCATCTTGCGATACAGAATAAGGTAACGTGTTTTTCAGTTGAAGATTTCAGTTTGCTCTACTTTGTCATGGACTATTGAGAGGAAACTCTTGCATATAATGGAGAGAGAGTGAGAGAGAGAGAGTCAGATAGAAACAGCAGCAGCTGAATGCACCACATCTTGCACAAGTGAACTGGCTTCATCACTTTTACTGCAATGAAGTTGCCTGCAACTGTCTGCAGAGGTCAGGGGAAAGCCCTGTCTCATTTCAGCACAGCTCTTTGCAGCCTTGGGGTACAATTTACAGAGCTTAATCAAAACATTATGTATTATCAAGTCCACAGCCACAATGAAAGCAAAAACAAATGGCAATAAAGTAGCAACAAGCCCCAGCAAGTCACTCACACCAACAATTTTTCAGCCTGGAAAACGATTGTCACACGATACAACAGATTTACAATAGTACATGAAAAACAAAGTGGCAGCTGACACATGTGAATCAGAAACCTTCCACTGATCCTGTCAGGTGGAAGGGGCTCTAGAGGAACAGGCAGAGAGCCACAAATAACTCAACCAAAGTATCAAGAAAGCATGCATACTAATTGCTTCCCACATGATCCATACAATATTCACAATGTATTAGGTGACTAGTCTTCAACCATGTTGAGATCCATGCATCCCAGAGCTAATTCTGGCATTACAGAACTAACAGAAACTGAGAACCATACCTAGTACACTACTATTTTGTGAGTATGCAGATTTACTTAACTGACAACCACTTTAAATGCAATCTACAAATCAGTAGTGAAAACAAAGCTCATCTGCCACTAACCTGTAGAGGGTGGGCTCTGAATAATATCAGAAAGATTATACCCTCCTGAGCTGTCTGACCGTTTTCGTGGCTTCTTCTTCGCCTTTGCTTTTGCTTTTTTGAAAAGAGCTTCCCTGGTTTAAAGCAAAACACTTTTATTTAGATTTCACTTACTTTTTTTATTGTGACAAACAGAATTTCATCTTTTCTTACTACATTCTCCCAGGCCCAAGTTTTCCCAATATCAGGACCGTGTCTTTTCCTAACCCAGTTTTTAAAAGCTATTTTAGGCAAACCTTTTTTAAAAATAAAAATAAAAATGCAAGAATTTGTTTCCTTAAATTTAAGTATCGGAGCTCTACAAATCATCCCCTGCTTTAACAAATACCCTTTCTCCATCTTTTCTTGTTCAGCATAGAAATGGGATAATGAGATTCACATTGGGGATTTACGATACCCAGGGAACATAACACAGTTCATTTAAAAGCGAATTACTATCATAATCCTTTCTCCATCCCACCCCAGTCCCCCTTACTATTTGAACCAAAAGATGTATGGGCAGTAGTTTTTCCTTACCAAAGAAAATTCTGACATTTAAAAACTTTTATATGGAATGTGTTTACTGACACCAATCCACATTGTTCCATTCTAGCTTGAGATTTGCTGCTTAGAATAACTGAAAACAAATAGGAACACAGCAGGTGAGAGGTGGGCAGAGCAATCCAAACCTGAAGCTGAGGCTCTGTGAAGCAACAGAGCTACCGCCACACTAGAAGCCTCGTCACTCACAGCAGTAGAAGGTGGAGGGCAGGCAGACACTTACTGAGTAGTTTGCTCTGCACTCAGCTCTTCTTTCAGGAAGACAAAGGTTTCTCCTTCCTCAGGCTCCAAGGAACTAATATCAGGGCCATCTTGGTATGGAGTAATTACCCTTCTGACCATAGCAGGAATCTACAACATCATAAATGCTTGTTAAGCTGTGCACTAGGAAAAACAGGTACGCATTGAATGCAGATTTTAAAATTTTATGATATCCCATAAAATCCAGTTTGGAAGAAGAGTGACTAACCCCCAGTTTGGGGGTGTCATTTCCCACTTTTTTTTTTGTCTCCCTGCACCCAGACCCCACTATTTTTGGTGGCAGCAAAGAGAACAAACATTAAAGGTGACAAAGCACTGCCGTGGATGGAGCCCGGTGCTCCCGGGTCATTGGACTGATTATTTCAGTCAAGAGTATATGGCTCCCAGAGGCTTGCCCCAGGGTAAATGTGGCCCTCATACCAAAAATGAACAAACAGCCACCCCTTGTTTAAAGTATGGCATGGTAGAGAAATCCTCCATACGAATACTCTAAGGATGTGTTGGCATATATAGATGATTCATAAAGTAATCTAAAACATTTGGAGTAATATAATCCAAGTAAAGTTGTAAATACCTGGTGAAGCCTTGACAAAGTTTCTAAACCTATATTTTATTCATTATAACGACAGTTCAGCAGACTCTGGAGGAGTCTTGCTTTAGTATCTGCGGGACTCTTTTTCTATTATGGCAATTTAAACCATGAGACAGATTATGAATGCTGCACAATTAGAAAATAAATTGGTCAGAATTTCTTTTAACAAAAGACATATCAAGACATTTCATCACTCAAGCTGCTTTAAAATCTAGCCTACTTAAACGAATAATAGCACTTACCATTTTTCTGTAAGAAACGGAAAGGTCCTTCAAAACGTCATCACTTAAAACATCTAGAGCCCTAAGACAAACACATATTAAATGCAAATTCAAGAGTGGCTCGCTGATGACACTCAACATTTAGTTGTGCCCAAGCACAAGGAAATGAAAGGCAATCTTGATAAATTCTACTTAATTCATAAAGTATTTGGGTGTACTGATAACAGAACAAGATTCTAAAGTGCTGGGGGTTTAATGAGTTGCTACAGACCTTAGACCTGTAAATGCCTGCTTGTGAACTGTCTCTTGGCTTAGTCCCAATTCTAGAATTTCCAGGTAATCTTTTTTTATTATTATTAATGGTACAAGTGTGAGTGGGTGGAAAGAGTACTGGTACAACAGCTCTCCAGATAACAACTTCCCAAGACCAGGAATCAAGCAAAGAACTACAGGTGCTGCTATGATGGTACAGAAAAGAGAATCTGCGGGTGAAGTATGCAAGGAGAAATGATGAAAGGAAAGAGAACAGACAAGAGCAGAGATTATGTAGAGCAACCTCTCCCAATCTGGTGCCCTCCATGTTTTTGACTACAATTCCCATCAAACCTGACTATTGGCTATGCTGGCTGGGACTAATGAGAGTTGTGGTCCAAAATATCTGGAAGGTTGAGGAAGGTTGGTTTAGACATGGGATGCAGCCTGTCATTCAGAAGGCACCAGTAGCAAAATGGATCAAAGAGAAGAGCGTAGAAGACTGTGAGAACAGGAAAAAGATCTGAGTGGTAAATATTAAGGGAACAGAACTGGGAAATCTAGAGGCTAGGCCCATGTAACTTGAAACTGATGTGGTAAAAGACAGGGATCCAGTACAGGCACAAACCCTCTTCAGGCTTTAATGCTCCTGTGTTGAGTGACATGGCAGCAGGAAGTGGCAATACCATGAATAACTCCATCCACTAGCCTTCAGATGAACAGCACATCTATCTATGCTGACAAAGCTTATCTGTACACAGCTGAATACTCAAAGGCCCTGTACACTACTTGGCGTGCCCCTGTTACTCAGCACATGAGCCTTAATGCCCGAAGGGAGCTATAGTTACTTTTGCCAAACCTCCAAAACCTTTTAAATAATGGCTCCCTCACGCCATTCTGAAAATCTGTTTGAAATGTGACACAAGCATTCTCTTTAAATCGCATGTGTTTATCAATGTCACTTGCTTGCCAGTTCTTTTATTTTAAAATGTTCATGTGTTACATTTTCAAACTGCTTTTTAAACCTGATGTGTTGATGTCAAAGCAGGATACGCTCAATGAACGTTAATATACTACTCATTTCCCTGTGGGTTATGGCCTGAGACAGTAGTTGAGCATGGAGTGCCAGGGATTGCTTTTACCTTGTTTCAAGTATAGCTGCCATGTTTAGAACGATGAATTGCAAGCAAGATTGTTTCAATTGCTCAGCGTTGTACATTGCTGCAAACTCCAGAAGCTCAGCAGCATTCTTCAAAGTAACTGAAATTGGGGGGAAAGGAAGAGAATACATTTCCCAAGCCATTTCTGTTAAAATGTCACTTATCCACAATATAAATTTATAGTGCTTTGCAGAAAATTCTGGGGTATGTACATAGATCATCTGGGGCACTAACAAAGCCATTTGGACTTGCACAAATGGAATGCATTATCTAAAATTCCTCCATTCATGCTCCACAGGTGCATACTGCAAAGGAAGATTTATAATGGAAACTTTATTTCAGAAAGTTTATCCACCATTACTAGGGTTCCTTACAGCACAATTTGAATGTCATTGGGCCTAAACATTTTATTTTAACAGGCACACTACAATGATGTGCAATAAATAACATCATATTTTGACATTCATGCAAGCTATTGTGTAACTTTAAAACAATAAGTAGCATTACTACAGGGTCAATCCAGTAACAACTCACGTTTTTCGGTAATGGCTACTTCACAGATTTCTTTCAGTCGCAATGTAAGGAGCTGATCCGCTACCACAAGAATATTGCAGATGAATTCCACATTTTGAGATTCTGGAAATCATTGGAAAATTGTATCTTGAGCCTAGTTTCCAACTTTCTCTGTTTATTGTCTATCTGTTAACTCAGCCAAGATTACAGTCTAACATAACACAGTATGAATCAGCCCACTCAACTGCAAACGGCTTCAGATGATTAGTTAGCCTGGAATGTGCAAGTCACTCTCTAGGGGAAAAAAACTATCCCTATTCTGTGTGCCATACTGAGGCTACCGAAAAAGGTACAGATCTCAGCTTTCTGCAACCTTAATCCAATGCTTTTGCAACTTCCCAGTACTTGTTCTAGTCCTAGTAGATCTAGTAGTTGCCTCAACCCTCCTCTACCCTTTCATATTTGTCTGGTTTATGGAAGACATGATGCCATTTTTACATAATCAGCCATCTGCATCTCTGTCATAAGGTGATTTGGAGTAAAGTGTGGTCAATATGCAGATGACACCCAGCTCTATCTCTCTGCTCCAATTAAACCAGGAGAGGCAGCTGGTGTGTTAGATCAGTGCTTGGAGAAAGCTTGGTCCTGAAAAGACAGAGGTACTATGTGTCCTGATTGCTCATGTTCCAGGAGGTGGGGAGATGGCCGGCAGCTTAGGGGTGCTCCTGGATTCAACACTCTCACTGGAGGCTCAGGTGTTTAGCAGTGCCTTTTTTCAGCTACAGCTGTGGCCCCTTTTGTACAGAAATGACTTGGCCACTGTGCTCCATGTTCCAGTAACTTCCAGACTGGATAATTGTCATGTCTTCTACGTGGGGCTGTCCTTGAAGATGACCCAGAAACTTGATCCAAAATGCAACAGCCAGATGACTGGGTGGGGCTCCTTCGGGTCTCATACATGCCATTTTAAAATAGTTGCCCTGCTTACCAGTTCATTTCCAGGCCAAATTCAAGGTGAACACTTTAATGTTTAAAGCCCTAAACCACTCAGGCCCCAAATACCTGAAAGATCACATCCTTCCCTAACTTCTCAAGGTGCTAACACAAGTGGAAGGTGCCCTCTTGGTTGCTCCATTGCCCTCAGAAGCTCAGGGCAGTCGTGGCAGCAGTCCCTTAGTTGTGGAATTCGCTTCCCACATAGGTATGTCTGGTGCCTTCATTGCACTGCTTTCAGCAAATGCTAAAGACACACATCTTTATCCTGGCTCTTTACACTTGTTTCAAACTGTTTTTAATATTGTGTAATACTATGTTTTTAATTGTTGGGTTTACATGACATTATACCATTTGTGTAATTTAATCCATTAAGCTGGCATTTTGCTATTGATACTATTTTCATCTCCTCCTCCTCCTGTTCCCAGATTCCCAAGCATGTAATTTATTCCCATTCTATTAAAGTCCTTACCTTTTACTATAACAGCTTCGTCAGTGTAAATATAATCCAGGATGACCTGCAGGATGTCAGAGGGGAATGGCATTTCCAGAGCAGCACAACATGATGCCTAAATGGAAGCGGGTTTAAACAAACATTTCAAATGCCAGCCCACTTTAAGATCCAGTAGAAGCTCCTTGCGAACCTTTAGGGAAGTCATCAGATTTTAAAAATGATATATGCCATTACAAATAGTGCATGCAACAGAAAACTAGTAAAACTAGTAGTAGTAACAGTAGCAGTAGCAGCAGCAGCAGCAGCAGAATACATAAACCTTGATCCTTTCCAAATAATCCAGATCACCAATGTATTGTGTTTACTCTTCTGTATTCTACTCTCTCTCTATATATATATATATAGTGTCTTAGTAGCTTTCATAAAAATCAACATACTAACAGGGTGGGTGAGCAGTGTTTCCAAAGGTTCCAACAGCCAGTGAACACGTTCCCCCTTCAATGACCTCAGATGCACATTTTACTAAAGGGTTTGGAGTATGAGTATGAGTGACCAATCCTCAAGGAAGAATACCTCCAACGTTTCTGCATGGGTCATAGTTCTGAGCATGCCTCTTGTTTGGAAGTTGATGGAATAGAAAGCCCATGCTAGGAATGATACAATGGCACCCAATGGAGAGAGCTTGACCAAATTACCCACTCCCAACAGAAACTGATTAGGAGGAGACAGGCGAGAACAGTACATCATGCTGAGATGCAGAGGGTAACCTCCTCTGCATTTATGCGTGCTGGGCTTATAAAAAACCTTCAACTTCTCGTGGTGCACAATGTGGGAAACACTGACATAGAGCATCCATCCCTAATCAACTGCTCTAAACAAACCAGCCAAATATAAACAAAAGGAAAAACTTCTTATGAAGATAGCATTCTGCAGTCATAACAGAATTATCTCAAGATTGTTGGCAAACACCCCATTTGGGAAATAAAGTAGTAAGAGGTTCCGTTAGATTATTCACAGCTATTAGTCATCCTCTGGCACTTTCAATATGCATAAACTTGAAGAGGACTTGATCCGACTTAATGTTTTCAACGTTTATTGGAAAAATCTCGGTTCAGAGGGGCTGCTGTAACATGGAAGGAATTTCAAGAACCAATTTCTGGGTTACTGTTACATACTTCAAACTCTAGTATTATGTGTCCACCATTAAAGAGAACAGCAAGCCACAAACTTGTCATTCACATCTATCCATCGCCTAAAACAAACTCAAACCGGCAGAACTTGCGCAAGTGCTTACTAATTAATTCTTTAAGTGTACAAGCATTACCTGTAACCAGAGAGGTCTATAACTACTAGCTACCAAAAGTCAACCTGCAGAATAAAATATCTATCCCATCATGGCCAGTAGGAAGTCTAGGAGGACAGAATTCCATACACGTTAGATACATGGTAGAGCATGTGGTAATATTCTGTTGTAAAGGTTCATTAGTTTCTAAAAGCATTTTCTATATGGCAAGGGCCGGGGGCAGGGGGTAGTATGCAAAAAATGCTAGCTATTGATTATTTGGATCTTGATATTTGAATATGTGGTATTTTAGGAAACAACCAAGGCAAACACATTTCACAGGCATGGGTGGGCTTATTTCAATAAGAGCACAAGACAGAAAGACCCAGGGACCAAGAAGCCAATAACTTCAAGAAAGAATGGAGAAAGTTTCTAATTTATTTAGAAGACCACTGTAAGCAGATGAAAACATTAGCAGGATTCTAACAACACTTGTAATGTAACTAATACAATGGACAATATAGAAAGATACAAAATATTGATTATACAGTTGACAATAGGACCCATGGAGAGGAAGGTGGGAAGTCGAGGGATTCAGAGAAATCTGTATATATGGTTATGTATTTGGTAATGTGACAATTTTTTACTTGTAAAATAAATAAATAAATTATTTCAAAAATGAAAGAAAGACCCAGTTTGGACATAACAATAGGCCAAATCATGACTTGTTGTGAATGAGTGAGTCTGCAGGTTTCCGGAGAGGAAATCAAGGCTCCTCCTCTGGTCCTGCTGCTGCTGCTATGAACCAAGCCATAGCTTGGCTTAGTATGTCATCCAAACCTGGGCTTCTGGTTAATCTCACTCCAGGCCACCACAAGATGTAACCAACGTTTGTTCTCTCTCTGGGAGCCAGTGTGTCCATGCTAAGTAATGGTTTAGCTTAGAATTATGTGCAAACTAAGCCAAAATAAAAGGCTGCTGGGGTTATTTTCAAAGTATGGCTCAGAAATAAGGCATTTATAACTATTTCTAACCTACAAATTTATTAACTTCTGAAGCTGCCTTTTACCAAGCCAGACCATTGCTCCATCTAATGATTAATCCATTATTGTGTCTACTCTGATTGGCTATGAAGCCTCTCCAATCTTAGGCAGAGAGGCTTCCTTACAGAGAGTAAGAACATTGGTCCACCTAGCTCTGTACTGCATAGAAATTGGTGTGTATCTCCAGAGTTTCAGCTAGGCATCTGTCCCAGCTCTATCTGCAGGTGTCTGGACTGAGCCTGGGACCTTCTGCATGCAAAGCATGTGTTCTATAGTCCCTCAAACCTTTTCCCCCCATTTCTTTTAATTAAGCTGCCATAAATTAACCACAATTAAAATCCCATCATCGAAACAGTATTCCAACTAATGTATCATAGCATAGCACACAGCTACTATAAAAGGCCCCTTGTGCTCAATATCATTTATGTAATGAAGGGTGCACATGTAGAATTCACTGCTGGATAATTTTTATATTCTTGCCTTCTGTTTTGCAAGCCATTACAAAGTTCTCTTTCGTGAATAATTACTTTCTCCCCCACAACGCCTGAGTAAATATTTTTGCACAAATTAAAGACGAAGGGCAATGCATCCAAGCACTTATACAGGCACGCTTACCTCAATCCAGGAGCTGCTCAGCATGCTGTGAAAATAGTCTGAAAAGGAGAGAGACCTCATTTTGACATGCATTAAAAGACAGATCTCTATTAATAACGTGGCCAAAGTACCTTACATTATACCTACCAAGTCTTGCGCAGAGCACACATTTGTGACATGGGAATTCTTTTCCATCTACAGATTTCATGGTCACGTCACAGAGGTAGGAGCTGCAAAACAATTAAAAAACCTACTATAAGGAGACATTAAAATGCAAATGTGGTTTAATACAAACAAGGATAAAGTAATGCAGTGGGATAATAGGGGGATAATCACCAGATTTTTTCCGGAGTTAAGAAACTGAACAGTTTATACAGGTTAGTACATATGGGGAAGGGTATTAATTAACATAGAGGGGGGGGCAATCTGGTTGGCTGTGGGCATGACACAGGCCGGGACTCCCCCATGACAGGGGGGACTCAACACGCCCCCACTGACCGCGGGAATGTGCAAGAGCTGACACAACCCCGCCCCTCTGTGAAGAGGAGCGGCCTTAATGAACATAGAGGCATATGGTCAGTAACAGTTCAGCATACAGCAAGCTGGTTGGTTCTGCAGTGATTCACACATTTACAGTCATACCTCGGGTTAAAGACATTTCAGGTTGAGCATTTTCAGGTTGTGTCCCACGGCGACCCGGAAATAACGGAACGGGTTACTTCCGGGTTTCGCCGCTCATGCATGTGCAGACCCTCAGAATGATGTCACGCACATGCGCAGACGCGGCGAATCGCGACCCGCAGACACGGGTTGCATTCTGCTCATGATGTGAACAGGGCTCCAGAACAGATCCCGTTCACATCCAGAGGTACCACTATATATACACTAAAGTGATGGCTCAGTAAGCATTTTACAAGAATAGGAGTAGCAAGGATTTTTCCTGCTTAAATTCATGGAGGTTTGGTCACAAACATGTTGTATGTTTTATCCATGTGATAAAATGCACAACAATTATTCTCACTAAGAGAAATTTTTGAATGTATAGTTTTAAGTTTTATTTTACATGGTTTTCAGAAAAATGAGAAGTTGAGACACTTGGGACTTCATACAAACTAGAAGTCAGAATTATGTGAATTATTTGAATTGGCTTTCATTATACCCTATAGAATGGCTTTCATTATACCCAGGGACGCGGGTGGCGCTGTGGGTAAAAGCCTCAGCGCCTAGGACTTGCCGATCGAAAGGTCGGCGGTTCGAATCCCCGCGGCGGGGTGCGCTCCCGTTGCTCGGTCCCAGCGCCTGCCAACCTAGCAGTTCGAAAGCACCCCCGGGTGCAAGTAGATAAATAGGGACCGCTTACTGGCGGGAAGGTAAACGGCGTTTCCCTGTGCTGCGCTGGCTCACCAGATGCAGCTTTGTCACGCTTGCCACATGACCAGGAAGTGTCTCCGGACAGCGCTGGCCCCCGGCCTCTTAAGTGAGATGGGCGCACAACCCTAGAGTCGGACACGACTGGCCGGTACGGGCAGGGGTACCTTTACCTTTTTATACCCTATAGAAATCTTCAAGCTTCCATACTGCACCTTTTGAAACTCACCATTTTTTCTGGTTTAGCTTTGGCTTGTTGCCAGTTTTTCTGTTGGCAATGTTTATTCTTCCATTTTCTATTCTGACTCCATCTAGCCTGCAAGGAAAATGAATTGTTTAAAGTGATAACAACGCTCCACTGTAAAAAGAATAATGCAACAGGATTAGTTGACAGGAAGAGTTATAGATGTTTATTCAACTTAACCTGAGGATCAACCCGTTAGAAAAAGAAAAAGCACGTGTGTGTGTGTGTGTGTGTGTGTGTGTGTATAAAAGCCTTAGTGATAGCATACCTTGAACTTAAGCTCCCAATTCCAAATTTCTTTGCAGCAACTTGCAATGTTTTTATGAGATTCACTTCTTCCCCAACACTCTTACATTTCTTAGAAGCAGATTTTGGTTTGCTCTTCTGTTTTTCATTTCCCATGTATACTTGGTTACTTCTGTAAACCTCAAACGCAGACTTCTTATTAACATCTCCATTGATAGTTATTTTATTCAAGTTTGTAATTAAAGTGTTTTCATTCTCTTCCATTTTTTCTTTGTACACCGCTTTGAGCCTGTGACCATGAATGAGGAGATCACATGTATCCGTGTAAATGTACTGCAGAATGTACATAAACAAATCTGGGTGAAGTTTTTCTATCACAAAGAGATCACAGCCAACACCATCTTCATCTTTACGATAAATATCAGCAGAATCTATCCAATTGTGATCCGATTCAAAGAGCTTCCGGAAGAAGTCAGAGCGTGCTGCCAAAATGTACTTGTGCACAGGGAAAGTCCTGGAGCCAACTTGAAAAGTCACATCATGGATGTTGTCCGTAATTTCTGCTTCTCCCAACAATTTGCCAAAATCCTCAGAAAAACTAGAAGTCGAGACACTTGGGATTTCATACAAACTGGAAGAAGAGAGTTATAAGAATTATTTGAATTGACTTTCATTTCATTTCATCTTCATGCACCATGCAAGAAAAGGAAAAGCAAGTTTCTAAGGCAGGAATTGGGAACTTGAAGAACTTCAGACGCTGTTTGGACTAAAACATTAATTGTCCCTAACCACTGGCCATAATGGCTGGGGCTGACTGGAGTTGGGAGTCCTACAACTTATGGAGAGCTGCAGCTTCCCCCACCCCTGGTTCCAAGCAGTATTTGCTTTCCTTCTTCGAAACATTAAACGAAAGCCCTCAAGATGCATCATCACACATGAGTATGTAGAGCCCCGTTGTGGTAGACTCGTAAATATACTGGATTCATGCCTGTATATTTTTAACAGTACCAGCAACGCTTTCCCAGTCCGCAGACTAATAGCTGTGGTTTAATGTAGCATATGGTGTTCCATTTTCAGAAGGCAAGACTGGGCACTTCATCCCTCTTTTCAGGAAGGCAAGAATATCTTCATCATAACCTCACGTGCTAAATATTAGTAAAGGACTGGCTTGACCAGAGTATCAAAAAGCACAAGTAGATCAAAAGAAAGAGCACTGCATCCAGGCACTAGTTTTAGAGGCCCTTGTAGTGTGTGCCCCTAAGGTCTATGAGGTGGGAGCCCTCATGGCATTGGAAATCCCTTCTCAGTAAGTTTTCATAAGGCTTAAAAGACCTATTTGTTTCCATTGGCCTTCCCTTGAGTTATTTTGGTCCTGTTTGCTGAATTGAGGCTGGAGTGGATAATGATATGGGAAGATTTGAATGGGTTTTATTCTTTTGTTTTTCAATAATTGTAATTTGTATTGCTATCAGTTAGTATGGATGGGCTTTGCCCAGGAAAACAACACCGAATTGTTTTAAAATAAAATAAAAATATTGTTTTCAAAGCTTTTAGGTAAATTATTCCCATAAATTTCAGGTAAATCATTCCCATAAAGGTAAATTATTTCCATAAATTTCAGGTAAATTATTCCCATAAATAGCTGAACTATACCTTGTTTTAGGATCTGACTGTAAAACAGCAAAGTTGCACCCATTAGGATCAGTAGTGACATTAACAGCTCTGTGAACAAAAGCAAGCTTCTCAAGTCGAATTCGTTCATATACGTTGTTTGTATCGCAAGATGAGACCTCGGTTGAGGAATTCTGAACATTTGTCACAATCTCTGCTGTATTTGGAGAGATTAACTAGTTAGATAATCAGTTGAGGAAACAAATAGGAAAATGTTTTGCTGGAAGCATTGCACTAATTCCACTAAGGTTGAAAGGCAAGTATTTGGCTTTAGTTAGACATTTATTGAAGACTACTTCATACTTGATGTGATTTCCAGACAGTACAACTAATTTCATAAGAAGAGCCCTGCTGGATCAGAGAAACATCTACAAGTAGGAAAATAATATAGAACACTATCTCATTTAATTGCAGCATGAGTGTAGGAAAAAGTTACAACTGAAGCTTCCATGAATAAAGACCTTGTGAAAAAAATAATCTCATCATCTTAGAGTGGAATCTTATATCCCCTTTTTTAAAAAAAGATTCAAAATGTTTTGTTGATTGAATCATACAAATCCACCAATCATATAATTAGTTTGAAGTCTTTACAGTGGTACATACACAAACTGTTTAAACTCCAAACTAATTTTAAGTTTTCTACAAGTTTTGGAAAATATTTTGGTACAGAACATCATTCAGTTGAACTTCCAGCTCTACTAAAGACTATAAAACATCCTGAATGTTGTATTCATATGCAGCAATCACTGTTTTAAATTTCATCAGCCCAACTACTCTACTGATAGATCTCTGGGTGATTTGCAATAGATTAGGGGTTCTCAAATTGTGGCTCATGAACCACGAGTTTCATCAGGTGGTCTGTCGTGTATCTGTGGATTTGTGGTTAAAAATAGGAGGTGGCACATCCATTGGACTGAATATTTAAACTGATTCAAACTGTATTTTTATTGCTTCTTGTATTTTAGTGTTTTACAATCTGAAGTCTATGGAATTCCAATTGCTACAACAAGTAGGGGAAAAAAACATTAAAACTGCCAGTCTGCAAAGACCCTCAGCAATTTTAAGGAAGTTGAGAAACTACTGAAATACATGCCCTCCTCACAAACATGCGCCTTGAACTAAATAAGCTTGGGGAAACCTGAATGGATTTGTGTGCGAAAGGACTGGGTGCAGAGCTGACCTCCGTTTTGACACACAAAAATCCGTTTCTCAGCAACTGCTCAGAACTATTCCACCTTTTGCAGTGGGCTCACTTTGGTAAATCTTGTGATTCTAGTAAAATAAAGCTGATACCACAAGCTGAAGTGTGCCTGCCCCATGTCTTTATCATTATTTAAATAAGAGTATCATTTCCCTGACACTTTTATGTAAGCTTGCATACTGCTCTGATGGCACTAGATGGCACTAGTTACTAGTATTTGCTCTGCGGAAAACAGTGTTTCCTTTTAATAGCAGAATTGGAGGTCCAGTGTCAGCAAGCAGAATAACTAAACACTCCAATTCTGCAAATTCCTGAGAAACAGAGAAAGAAAAATGTTGCTGTTGGCTAAAAAAGAAAAAGAAAAGGAACAAATACCCTCAAATCCTTTCGTGCATACACCTACCATAGAAACAGAACATTAGAAAGCCCTGTTAGAGCTACAAAAAGTCTACTGGATAATTAATTTGTTTGGACAGGGTGAATAAGAAGATATACCTATAAAATAACCTGATTGAAGATTAAATCAGTGAAAAGAGCAGGCAAGAGAAAATACTTAAAAGCTCTCTATTAGTCTGGAAAAGGTACAGAAGGTAGCTACTGCAAATAAAATTTTTGAACCTCAGGCTTTTTAATTCCTCCCTTTGCATGCTTTAAGTGGACCTGTGCCAGTCCTGATACTTCAGTCTTTGTAGTGCTACAGCGTTATGGCACTAACAATGTAGTTGGAGGAGAAGAAATTAAATGCCCCTCTTCGTGGTGTTAACTCCTGGGCATGGGACTGTCCTACTGCCTTCCCCCACAACAATTAGCTTAGTCCTCTGTCTGTGGGTCTTAGAGGCCACAAGCTTCTATTGTTAGAAAGTCAAAAGAAAGGACCCCCCCAAAACCCACAAGTACTAAGATCCTGTCAAACTTTCTTTTTAATAAAAAAAACATAATTTGGTAAGACTCTAAAACCCATGCCCACACAGAAGCCTTAAGACCAATGCTATAGAAACTTGTTTTTAAAATTCCATTACAAAAGGTACAAATTACAACCAATATACTCAGCGATGTGTTTATTCATAGTTGTTATGGAGAAGGGGTAGGAAGGGAAAACAACGCAAGTTGTGCTAGATTTAGAATGTGATCCTTCCCCTACCCCCATGTTGAGGTTGGGTGTGTATGTGTCGTGTGTAGATTTCTCCCCACCATCCTCTGCTGGCAGAGAGGAATGCTACTGGTGAGGGAAGCTCTACTACAGCGAAGGAGCGTGGGTGGGAAAATATTGCCAGCAATTCTCTTTATGTTGGCCAGTGGAAATCCCTGCAAAAGAGGCATTCTAGGACAGGGACGCAGCTTCTTTGGATCCAAAGCCAAGGGGTCCAGCTATGTCAACCTAAAGTTGGCAGATCAAAAACAAAGAACTGACACACACACACCCGCTTTCTGTCCTGGCCAGTGCAAGAAGCAGTGATCAGCCACTCTGCACCTCTGTAGCCCCTTGTTAGAATTCCTGTGTCCTTTGAGTAGTACAACTGTAGACATCTCCTTTTTATTTTTATGTTTTAACTCAGGAAAAAAAATATTGTGTGTTCACGTTCACATTTACACTGATTGACCCAAAACTGCTCTCGCAACTGCTTCCATTCAGCCAAAGTTAGCACACTCAAAAATCTACTTAACTTACCTTTCTTCTCCGAATTTTTGTTCCCCTCCATCCACTTTCCTTTGAAAGCTTCACCATCCTGTGTAACAAACATAATTTCATTCCTGTTTAAAGAAATATCAGACATGTAGACTTGGCGGCCATACACCCACCGGCACTGCTTCAAAGGATTGTTGGCAGATTTCCAGCAAAACACCTAAAGATTTGTGGAGTGTGGGGTAGGGAGAGGAGAGAATGAGAGCAGTTTACACATTTCTGCAATAATTTAGCCCCCTGCCTTCTTTAATTGCTTTAAACTAAATTCTTTATGCACCAAGAAGCTACTAGCGCCTACTCCTGCTTCCGCAACCTATTTGGGGATTTGCTCACCATCTGTTTTGTCCTCATACAGATTTACACAATTTTAAGCTAGAGTTGTCCTGCTTCCCTAAAGCAGGGGTGGGGAACCTCTGGCCCATGAGCCAAATTTAGCCTGGAACAGGTCCCAAACTGAATTCCCCCTAACCATGCCCACCTGGCCCACACCTGATGACATTCGTGAGAGGTATGGGGCAGGTAAAGATGCTGCTGGATTGGCTGTATGGCCAACTTCCTCATGCTAAACTCTACTGTGAATCAGATCCTCAAAGAAAGCAGCTTTGTCAGCAAGTCCCCCACCACCACCACCTGAAAGTTTGCAAAATTTGTTTGCTTTTTCAGTCTTAAGTAAAAGTGATCAAACCGCCTCACAGCTGAACAGCAAAAGGTTTTCGGTAGACAGAGATGCAGACTTGATCTAAGGGCCGAACTATGTGTGACATTAGTCACATTTAGACAAGCTTGTGTGAGGAAAAAGCTAGAGCAGATGAGGAACGCTTGATAATTTTGTTTGGTCCATTTAAGTCAAGGGCCCTGAATCACACTTCCTGGACTAATCAGATCAAAACACAGTGATGGGATGAAAAAATTGTGTATATAAAATGTATATTTTAGGATAAAATTCATTCAAAAATACCTATTTAGTAGAAAACTATACAAAAATACTAAATTTTGTGTGTGCTTATGTTTATCATTTGCAGAAGATGCAGAAACAGAATGGAATGGACTTAAGAATAAACATTTGTAAATCTGTTATGGACTGAATAGACTGATCTGTTCATCCCTTGGAGAGGCATTACATGTCACTACTGCAAACAAATACATTTGAATTTAGTGACAATGCATAACTAAGTTACATGCTATAAACATAAAGTGGTTTCAAGGTATGCCTTTACACTTTATAAAGTGGGTGGCGGCACAGTACTGGTCAACTTACTCTTCCCGCTTGGTCCAGTGCAAGAATACAAATCCTCTGGCCTCCGTTTTCCTTAAGGTGTTCAGGAGCCACTCTGTAGTCCAAGTAGCCTCCACTAACAAGAACCTTCTTTAGATTTAGTTGCCTGGACAATCACAATACAAGGAGAGCTTCATTTACACAAAATACACACAAATCAAAATTGTAAAGAAAATGAAACATTTACATAAAGAACAAACCTAACAACTTTACTGTTAAAGAAGCTACAAACAAGCAACTGCTACCAGACTATCACAGATGCTAAAACCATTATATTGACCGTAGGACAAGATTCATCACAAGATTGGACTCGATGGCCCTTGTGGTCTCTTCCAACTCTATGATTCTATGATTTGACCCTGCCCTCTTACTAACATATTGCCCAATAGTTCATACAAACTATGTGACATGTGAAACATATTTGCCACATAAATATGTTAGAAAGATATATTCATAAAGAACAAAAATAAAACCCGCTTTGCATTGTAAGACATCATAATCTATAAAGAAGCACTGAAAAGAAGCAAAAAAGGAGGAACATACTAAGCTGGGAGTGGGCGCCACTACTGAGAAAGCCATCTGCCTGGTTCCCTGTAGCTTCATGTCTTGCAATGAAGGAACCGCAAGAAGGCCCTAAGAGCTGGACCTCAGTGTCCTGGCTGAGCTAACAAGGGTAAATTCATAGATTTTTTTTCTGAGGAAAAGCACTCACTTGGAAGCAATCTTCTTGCATTGATAGTCGGTGAGCAAATAGATATCTCCTCTTTCAGTAACACAAACTGTGGCACCATCACTTGCAGCGACAAAGGACATAGTAATGTCTTTGTGATGCAGAGCAGAGACTTGGCGAGGTGAAGTTACACACTTCTCTCCGTTAGGATCTAGCAAGTATCCTACAATGTAAAAGAACACTTTCAATGCCAACTTTTTCAGACTCATGATTAATTGGCCCAATAGTTTTCCTACTCAAAAGAAGGACAGAAACAAGTGCTGTCAATTCATATTTACACACACACACACACACACACACACACACACACACAAACTTCTGGAGCATCAGAAACTAGTTTATAAATGTAGGTCAACATATGAAGCTGCTTTACACTAAATCAGTGCATTCCCTGCCAAAGTACAGATACCGTATATACTCGAGTATAAGTCGACTTTTTCAGCATATTTTTTATATATTTTATATTTTTTATGCTAAAAAAGCCCCCCTTGGCTTATACTCGAGTGAGGCAGGCGGTGGCAGCGGAACGAGCAGTGAGAAAGGAGCCCTTTCTCGCCACTAGTCCCACCACCTACCTCTCGCAAGGGCAGGCACAGGAGCTGCGGTTGGGAGAGGCGCTGTGCTACGCTGCGCCTCTCCCAACCGGGCTCCTACACCTGCTCTTGCAAGCAGCAGAGGCGGCGGCTGAGTGAAGAGCGGCCCGAAAGGGCTGCATTCAGGCTGCTCCTTCTTCCTCCTCTTCCGCCTTTGCTGCTGTCAGCAGCAGCAGAGGAGGAAGAAGCAGCCCGAAAGGAGCCCTTTCAAACTGTTCCTTCCTCCTCCGCTGCTGTGGGTGGCGGAGGAACCAGCAGCCCGTGAAATGAAGATTTACTTTTTGCCGGGGGGCCACTAGGGGCGCATTGGAAGATGGCCGACAATACCATCTCTCCGACCCACACGGGGTAATTAAGAGGCTGTTATGGGAGTAGGCAGCCTCCCTTGTTGCCCCAAGGAAATGGGGAACACTGCCCTTGCCTGCTGTGCCCATAAATCACCCCCTAATTCGAAAGAAGGGGGTGAGGGCCCTAGGCAGAATGCCCCCGTGTGGACCTCTGCTCTCCTGGACGCTGTCTCTGGTCGCGCACTAGCTGCAGCAATTTGGAATAATTAATTACAAAAGAAACAAATGCACATATTTCAAGTGAAGAGGGGGAATGAAGTCTGCTAATTTAAGTGACCTCTGCGAAAGACGACGACGGGTTGGAGAAACAGGAATATTTTACGATGAAGATACACCAAAGGCTGGGTATGTTGACAACGGGACTGAATGGGGGGGAGAACCTTTTTTACTTTCTTTCTATGTGATTTACAAGAACCCCTCCTCATTAGAATCGTCGGTTGAACTGACCCAAGCAGGATGATTAAGGTCTGTGTGGAGATAAACTTTAACCAAAAGTATTCTTTACGGAGATCGAGAAGCAATAAGAGCTTTTGGAATGGCGCAGCAATTAATTCGGAGTCGCCATCTTGCCAAAGGATTTATGGCCGGGAGGAGGAACGGACCTGTTTTCAGACTGCATTCCTGGTGAATCTCCTCAGAGGTTTTGAGAAAGGAGGCAGATTGGTGAAGATTAATGACGCTAAGACTGTTTTGATGTATGGAAGTGATGTTATATGGAAAACGTCTGGATATGGCTACAGGATTACAAACTGTTCTAACCAGCTTGTGGAGACTATCAGAGGTCACAAAGAGCAAAGAGAAAGGAAAAATATATGAAAATAACAACAAGAGATGTGGAAAAACAATTAAGAAAGGACTGGATAGTACTGTGAACATCATAAGGTTAGATTTGTGGACATTAAAACAGCAGTAAGAAGCAAGAAGTTGATTGGATCCCCTTCGGAACTTGAAATATGGGTACCCCCAACAAAAGTTTAAAATTCGGCTGTGTAATTTGGAATTTATGTAATTTGGTTTGATTTGATGTGATTGGTCGGTTAATAAAAAATTATTCTTAAAAAAAAAAGATTTACTTTTTGCCCCTATATGCATCACCTTACACTTTTTTGCACTGAAGTAATTTACCATTTTACCTGCTATACACTCAGCCTTGAGGTGCTTTTGGAGTTCTTCACAATCCCTTTGTTTTAACAACCCTGAACAGTTTAGTATTGTCAGGAAACCTAGCCACCTGACTGCTCACCCTTAACTCTAGATCATTTATGAAGCAATTTAAAAGGCACAGCTCCAATACCAGTCCTTGGGGAACTCTACTTTCGACATCCTTCCACTTACAAGAACTGTCCATTTATTCCTTCTCTCTGCTTCTTGTTACTTAATCAGTTCCCAATCCTCAAGAGGACCTCACCTCTTACTCTATGACTACTTTGCTCACTCAGGAGTATTTGGTGAGTTCAGATGCCAAAGCCAATTTAGAACATTTCACTCTATGATAGGACTCTATGTCCTCACACCAAGCATTTTCACATTGTGCATAAAATTACACCGTGCAATTTTTGTTGTAAAACAAATTATGGCCTCTGCGTGTATGCATTTTAAAGAAGAATTTCAGTATCGGCAGTGGAGACAGAGAGAATAAAGAGAGCTAGCAAGTTGCCACAGGGTGGAACAGAGTGCTGTCCAATCTTTTTCCAGTTTGAGCTTTTAACAGCATCATTTAGACTAAGGGGAAGTAGGGTCTGGATTCAGTTCAGCAAGCCACAGGCAGTGCCTCCACCCCCACAGCTTTGGTTTCATTCTGGGTGATAAATCGCTCTGTTCTGCAGAGAATGATCTCTAGAGAACACAGAAAGCATTTTATCTCCTGTTTTGGAGATAAAAGATCACTCTGGCTGATTTGAGAAGCAGTCAATCTTTTCTCTGAGTGCTAATCACCACAGCACTGAAATCAGAGATAAAGCTCTTCACTTGGCTCTCTGAGAGTACATTGCAGGATTTCCCCTCCACCACCACTCAGGGCTGGAATGGTGAGGGGGCAGAAATGCCAGGATTGTGCAAGTGTGCATGCATGTTTGTGTGAGAGAGTTTGACTTAACCATTCTGCTTTAAGGCATTTTTTTAAAAACTTCGGTGCTTTATCAGTAAAACTGACAGTCCAGCATTTACTAGTCAGCAAACCAACCATGCAAAGTATAAAATACAAAGTCACAGGCTCAATAAAGCCAATTATTACAATATAAGCTAGCATAACAGGTTTAACAGATAGGACAACATCCAGATATTTTGCTACCTATTCTGAATTCTAATAAATTAAGAGACCTTGTCTCAAATTTTGAGATAGCCATGTGAGCTGATAATAATCACTTTCCCCTTAAGATGTCCCTTGGTTTTTCAAAGGAATAAAACTCAAGTTCACATCATTTGCCCTCTAAAATGTTTAGCACCAAAGGAAACGAAAAAAGACTTAGCTGGTCCACTGTAACAGAGGATGCATTTGCTAAGTTCACTTATTCTTGTTGAAAAATGTAAATGTATTGACAAATAACAATGGGTTTTTCATATGAGTACTGTATATTGAGGTCTGAATCCCTAGTACCCAAAATACATTTAGCTTTACAGTCAATATATGAATTCCTAAATAGTCACTGGTGCAAAATACAGGTGTTTGACAGAGGGAGCTAATCTTAGTAAAGCAACAAGGAGATTTTAAGCTGCTTCTTAAAGGAATGGCAATGTTTTGTTTAAAATAATCTTCTTCCCCCAGCCATCACCTTAGATGTAAAACTCCCTCTCTCACCTAGCTGTCCGCCATTCAGTCCTATTGTGTATACCGCTTCTTTGGTCCATAGCACAGTATGGAACCTGCCTGCAGCCACACCAATCACTGTTCTGCCTTTAAGATTTTTTGCTTGAACCTATATGAAAAATCCAAACATACACAGGTGTTAGTTTTTATTATCAAGTATTTACTGCTGTGCTCTAGCTATTGACAGAAGGGACAGCAATGTTCTTATTTAAAATAAAGAAATAAAAGCAATGTAACAATACAGACTACAGTTAAAAACACGACAACATAATCAGTGCCAAAATACTTAAAACCACAATGGCCGGCATCATAAGCCATTCAACACCAAGAGGAACAAAATGCTTTTCAGCGTGTGCCAAAACTGTAACAGAGTCAGCACATGTTTTATTTCTAGAGGAAAGGTATTCCAGAGGATGACATCAACACGGAAAAAGCCATGACAACCAGGAGGGCTTCCACTGATGATGATCTCAGTGGCAGATCAGGTCCTGAGCTGTTCAGAGCCCTGAATGTTAATACCCAAACTTTAAACCTGGTCCAGTAGCAAACTGACAAGTAGTGGAGACTCTCCACCATCTTCTCAGTGAAAGTCACTCGGCAATGTCTCTTGAGTTTCAGGTGTGACATAAAAATGGTTCTCTTCTACTTGGCTTTTAACAGTTTCCAATGGCCTTCAGGTTGCTTAAGTTGTTACAGGCAGTTTTCATAGGTGCTTTGCCACAGTGTTGCAAGCACCAATTGTTTTGTAGTTTAATGTTTTGTTTTAGCCGCCTGATCTGCTCACTTTTAACAATGAAATCAAAAGCACACAGAGGTTTGTTTGGCAACTAGAATAGGACAGAGCAGTAAAAATACTAAGTGTGTATCCTATAGCCTTGAAGACACTTTGAAACTGTGTTAGTTTGAACTGTTGCCCCCCCCCCCATCCTAAGATCTTGAGATTGATAATACAATTATTAGTTAGGTAACTTTTCCATGATACAGTAAATTTTTATTCTCACTCTCTTTGGAAATTCCACCTGCAGTTTCAGTTAAGATTAGGAATAGGTCCACTGCTCACTTTCATTGATGCAGTCCCACAGAAAAAGGTAGAAATAAACCACAGCAAGGGATCAGCTAGTTGGCCACTTCTTGGCTGAGACCAGGGGTAACCAACTTGGTGTGCTCCAAGTGTTGTTGAACTACTACTTCCATCATCCCCAGCCAGCATGGGTGGTGGTGAAGGATGATAGGAATTGTAATCCAGAAACATTCAGGCTGCTACTAGTTTAGACCGCCATGCAATGCTGCCAAGTACTGTTGAAAAATGCACATTCCTCATTTAAAGGATTGTGTAGGCTACGAATAAGTCACTGCCATGGAGTCGTCCAGGTGATTAATCATCTGATGTTTCTCTTAAGCAATCTGAAATATTTTTTTTCCAGCAACAGCAATAGATATCATCTATCAAGCAGCAGCAGTATATCTAGCACTGACCAGCATGTACACATGGGAACATGTGCACACATCCATCCCTAATTTACAGGCATGCCAAAACTATCCAATTATTAAAAAGACCATTTTACCTGTCTGGGAACATTACAATTAGGGGGAGGAGGAAGAACACCCAACTGATGAAAAGTATTCAGGCCAAATGTATACACACATCCATCTTCTGTTAAAACAAGCGTATGATCTTTCGCTGCTGCCACCTGAGAACACTGGTGACCCATCAAGCTTTCCACAAGTCTGGGAATCTAAGAGAGATTAAGAAAATATTGCACCTGTGTTTCAGACATGCCTCCCTCAGTCAAGACGTACATCAACTTTGTCAGGAACAAAGCAAAACCATTTCGTAAAATATATTAGGTGACACACACAAACGTCTCTAATAAAAAAATCCAGAAGCTTTACTATTTATATGCACTAGAATCCTCCAGGCTTAAAAAACTATTTCCATTTTGAAATATTTACAGTGGTGCCTCGCAAGACGAAAAGAATCCGTTCTGGGAGTCTCTTCGTCTAGCGGTTTTTTCGTCTTGCGAAGCAAGCCCATTGATGGGATTAGCGGATTAGCGCTATTAGCGCTATTAGCGGCTTTTAGCGGCTTTTAGCGGCTTTTAGCGGCTTTTAGCAGCTTATCAGCTTATCGGATAAGCAGATAAGCGGCTTAGCGACTTAGAAAAAGAGGGGGAAAAGGGGGAAAAAAACCCAGGAACTCGCAAGACATTTTCGTCTTGCGAAGCAAGCCCATAGCAGATTCGTTTTGCGAGGCACCTCCAAAACGGAAAACTCTTTCGTCTAGCGAGTTTTCCGTCTTGCGAGGCATTCGTCTTGCGGGGCACCACTGTATACACTTCAGCTGGCCATTATAACTGTTCAAAATTTGTGGTCTCCACTAATCATGCTTCAACTGATGGCAAAAGTTTGAATCCATTTAAAATCAAAGTCACTTAGGCTAGATCTAGACACATCAAAGAAGTGTTCAGTTAAACACGTTGTAAACTGAAACAGGGAAAACAGGAAGAGAAAAATGGCACTCCACAGTGCCATCTGGTGACAAAATGTTATATCGCATATACAACACATATAAACCGCTTTTTCTTTACCAATCTACACATATAAATCACTTTTTCTTTACCAATCTAGCTGAGTCCTCAGTCACTCATGGTTAAACTCAAAACCAACACAACCCCCTTAACCAAGGGATCAGGAGAATTTAGTTTATTTCTTGTGAAATTAAAACAATATGTTATCCTCGAGCATTGTTCCAATTTGGTTTAAATATGGCATAATTTAGAGGGTACTCAGTTGAAAATCATAAGCAATATGATTTTCAGCAACACAGAACTCTGCAGAAGATCGGAACATGAAACAATTTGCATAGACAATGATGCTTTTAGCTCTCTTGTTAAAACAGCAGCTACATACTGCACTAAAGTAGCAGCTACTTCTGACAGTGTGTCAAAAGCAGTTTTTGAAGCACTGCAGGGGAATTACTTAAAATTTTAAAAACCCTGTGTATGTACAAAAGATGGCTCTGTGGGCCAAATACAATATTTGAAACCAGTTTCCTTTTTCATAACCTAATAATTTGTTTTAAAATACCAAGCAAGTCTGTTCATCACCATGACCCAAGCGTCCTCCTTGACCATGTCCGCATGTGTATACTTGTCCTTTTTGGGAAAGAAACACGGAGTGAAATTTACATAGAACCACCTAAAGGAGAGAGAGGAAAAGGTCCTTAACAATGTTACTTGAGCTGCATCATGAATTAACATTACTTATTATCATCACCATGAAGTAATATATAATGAACTAACAAAAGGAGCAGAGAAAATTCCAGTAATTAAACCAGATTTTCTTCGGAAAAGGAAATGCTGAAAGGCATGTACTTACGCTAACAAACCAACTGATGAGACTAGAGAAGATGCTGAGGCTGCTTGCTTTCCCACCCACACCAGCTATTGAGATTTAATGCCAGGTGTATTGAGAGAGGGTGGAAGAACAGAAGCAGGGAATGGGCTGTTTCTGCTTTGTAAGTCACAGAAAAAGAGGGGAAGAGGATGGAGGACAGAAGTGAAGCAAAGACACATGATCAACTGGGATTCTAAGGTCTAAGACCTGGGACTAAGCCCTATATTTGCTTTGAAATAAATGCTTTGAAAGGGGGGTGGGCTTGAGGGAGTTTACCATGCTAATCCAGCATGTTTTGATGTGTATATATATTAATTACCTGTTTAATATAAATGCCATTCCTAGGAAAGAGATCCACCAGCTCAGGATGATGTTTACTCTGTTGACCACCATGTCCCAAAGTAAAATTTATATTGTTTCCCCAGGTGTAGACATCTGTGGGATCTAACACAAATCATGACTTCCATTTGAATCCTCATTCACATATGCACACGATGCATTATTTTAAATGTACTTCTACTTTCTGTTGAATGGATTCTTTCCAGATATCCTGCAAAACTAGGCAAAAGGCCTAGAAAACTCAAGACTATCAGTTTTTTTATTACAACAAAATTACATACCTGAGCATTTACATAGTTTAACATAATCCCAACATTCTCAAGATATATATGGAAGAGAACTAAGTCAATGAACATAGCTTAAGTACCAACAGGCATGCATGTACACACACAATTTCAATAAATGTAGGTTCAACCTGCTGTTTTAAGGTACGATTTAGGCCCCTATGGATTCAGAGGAGAGGCAACCCCAGCATCCAACACCTAACATTGCACTGCACTTCATAAAACATACATTTTCTAAAATATAGCTTTTTTCTGCATGTTCAAAATATATTTATTTCTTCATGTTCAAATCTGTACAGTAAGTATCAGTAAGCATAATGATCCTCTTATGGTGACATACCTGTATTCTTAAAAATGACATGGGCTGGTCTGTCCTTCATTACAAGATCCAAAGCAGACAAGCCTTCTTTATCCTGCATATACAAGTTGACACCATGCTGAGAGCAAAGGGAGGAGAGAAAGAGGAGAGGAAGTGAAAACTGATAATCTGGTTTCTTTTCTTATTTCATCCATCTTCCAATCTAAATTAGCTCATTCATATTTTTATAGGTGTCTGAAACCTCCAATAGACTCATAAACTGAAGCACCATCCTGCCAAGACACAGGTATTATTGGTGAACAGTTTTATGTTTTGGTTGGGGGATGAGGGACTCCCTCCAAAGATCAGATTCATAGTCTGACGATGGAAGGGCGCTCCTTCTACCAGCTGAGGCACCTCTAGATATACCACCCAGTTCTCCTCAGACGGGTCTAATGTGTTATATGCTGTAAGCTGCCTTTGAAGACAGCTGATAGGCTAACTTTATGTAGGCACTGGGCACATATCTTGTTGAGCTTAAAGGGGTCCACTGACACACGATCTGTGTAATTTTTTCTCAAACTTGGGTCCCCAGATGTGGTTGGACTACAACATCCATCATCCCTAGCTAGCAGGACTAGTAGAAAGGGACGATGGGAGTTGTAGTCCAACAACAGCTGAGGAGGCAACTGATCTATGAGAAAGATCCTGAGAGAGGCAAGCAAAGGCCACCTCTGCGCATGGCTCAGCTGAATGATCTGCTTCTCTCACAGGGCCTTCTGCCATCGAGTGCTCTATGGGAAGGAACGTGATAATTACGTGTTTATATGTATATATTTTTATTGCATTGCATTAATGTATTTCCTTATTTGTAAGATGCCTTGGAATTATTTGGATAGCTAGGTAGCTCAGTTGGTTAGAGCATGTATCGTGAAAAGAGGGATATAAATAATTGTAGCAAAAAAAGGAAGCAAGAACAATTCAAATTGTGGCTAGTTACATTTAAAGCCCTACACCAGCCTTGCCCAACCTGGTGCTCTTCAGATACATTGTACTACAATTCCCATCTGTCTCAGGAGGCACAACTGTGTTGTGAAATGCAGTCCAAAACATTTGGAGACCAGTTTAGAGAAGACTAACAATGAGAACCTAGAACTGTTCTTCAGCTGAAAACAACTTCAAATGGATCAAAAAGAAAACAATGAGACAAACAGACAAAAACCTAGAGCAAACCTGAAGCTATCTGTAGTTCACCTTGCCTCCACCTTGCCTGCAGTGGCAGGGAATGATTTGTTTTGACATCAGACTCAAACATTACACAGAAGGCTTCCTGTTAAGATTTTCCCCCTACATATTATTCAACAGAACAATCTAGTTTGATTTTATTTGAACAAACCATGACAACCTGATAAAAAGATATGTGCAACTGAAAGAATGACCACATGGGATTTGGCAGAAGTGGGCGGCATTCTATCAGCGCAAGGATTTTCACTTGTGGTTATTTTCCTTGCTTCTCCCCACATTCCCTCCCCAGGAGAAAGAACGTTCTGTTGCACAAGAATAAATGCTTGCACTAACATAAAGTTCACCTGAGCACTACACTGGAGTCCATCCAACTGCTTATATACAGTACAGTCTGATTTTGCTCAGCGCTTGGTTCCTAAAATCATGAGGCCAAATGCATATTCATAACGGAACTATGAATTGCAAAATACCAACCTTCAGTAGCGACCACGCACAGTCTATATGACCATAGAAAATGCCACGGTGCAAAGCTGTCCATCCCGACTCCTTGTCTTTTGCTAACAAATCCACTCCATTTGTTTCTATCAGCCAGTCTAGCACCCCTTTCTTACCACAGGAAGAGGCAAGATGAAGGGCGTTCCTGCCAAAGATATCCTTGCTTGTTGCAGCATTGTAGCAGTGAGAAGTGAGGAAGGCCTTGATTTGGCCTTCACTCCCTTGAGTTATGACAGAAACAATATCCAAAGCATGCTGCAGTGATCGACACTTCAACGTACAGTCAGGCATCAAAGAACTCATCTTACGCTTTACTGCACTACTCCACTGTACAAGAGAAACCCCTGTAAAACACACACAAGGGAACTCTGCTTTGTGCCCCTTCTTCACAAGAAAATCATGATTTAGGTACAGTCTTTATTCAGTTGCAGAAAGCTGCCATGGGAATTATTGTGCTGTTAAGGCTTGGCACTTAAAAAAATAAATATTTTCATCGATATAAATTCAAGAGTTCATTTCTTTATCTACAAAATACCGTATTATAGTCAAGGAAGAAAAATTTCCAAAAGGCAATAAAGGTGTGAGGAGGGGGATTCCCCCTCCACACTGGCTGGTTCTTTCAGATATCCATAATTGCAAGGGAGATCTGCAAGAAGAGAAATGGGAGAAAAATGAGATTAGGAAACGTTCTGAATATCAGCAACTGTGTTTCAAGGATTTATTAATTGATTATTTTTTCCTGGCCTCCCTCTTAAAGGAGATGAGGGCAGCAAAGAATGGATAAAACAAAAACAAAACAACATCTTAAACAATTCCAATACAGATGCAAATTGGGAATTTATGTGAAACTCCACTCCGCCCCCATCCCTCACTGGCAAAGAGAATACCTTTAGGCGCCAGACAAAAACTATTCTTTATAACCAGGCCTTTGGCCTTTAATTATCTGTGACAGTGACCTTTCAGAAGTGGGATGTTTTTAATGTATTTCTCTTTCCTCTTGGTTTGAAAGCACAGTATCAATGTGGGGCTCATTGTCTGTGTTTGACTGTAAGTCGCTTTGGGTTGCCCTGAGCAAGATAAGGTGACTGACAAATTTAATAAATAAAAACATAATAAGTACCAAAACATTTTTTTTCTTAAAAAAAAGATATGGAAATAAACAAGATTTAAACTACATGCTTCTATTCTATTTATACAGGCATTTAAGTATATTTAATCTTTGTCCCAGGTACTACATATTCACTAACTAATTTACTGACATATTATATGAACTTGCTTTTGGAGATATACTACATCCATACCTTGTTTGCATTTTTATGTTCGCAAGTTAACTTTGTTCATCACTGCACTGTTCAAAATTTTCATAAATCACATGATGCTCAGGCAATATTAACTCTATCTCCCCCTTCCAACTTTGGCTTTCAGACTTGAGCAACAAGTGACATACATATAACTGAACATACAACTGAACTTATAGAAAACAGAAAGTAAACCCATCTCAGTATCTTATGCTTTAATTGCTTTAATAAAGTATCTCACTCTATGACTCCTAAGTCTCAATAATGTTTGTTTCAAAAAAGATACTGTAGAGCTGGAGCAAGTTCATAAATGGACAACTAAAATGATCAAGGGGTGAAACAAGTTCCCTATGATGCAAAGTTACAACATTTGGGGATTCTTAATTGAAAAAAGAAGCAAATAAGGAGGGGCATGATAGAAAGGCAAAGATGATGCACAGTATGGAGAAAACAGATAGGGAGTTTTTTCTTCCTCTCTCACTATTAGAATTCAAGGATATCCAATGAAGCTGAATGCTGAGTGATTTAGGGCAGACAAAACAAAGTACCAAGGAAGCTGCCTTATACCTAGTCAGACCACTGGTCCATCAGTGGCTCTCCTGGGTTTCTGACAGAGGTCTCTCTCAGCCCTACCTAGGGATGCTGAGGACTGAACCTGGGACCTTCTGTATGCAAAGCAGATGCTCTAATACTGAGCTATGGCTCTTCCTTCAAGTACTTCTTCACACAGTGCTTAGCTAAACACCCACAAGATATAGTCATGGACACCAACGTGGACGGATTTAGAACAGACAAATTCAGAATGGCTACTAGCCATGATGGCTATGTTCTGCCCCCACTGTTGGAGGCAGTATCCCTCTGAATACGAGTTTTCATGTAGAAGAAACAAAATTTCAAATGCTGAATTAAAACTGAGTGACCAAAACTGCAAAGCAATCAAGAGGCTATTGCCAGACATGTAAGAGAAATAGACTCTAACTAGGGACTTTTCTTACTTGCTCATTACCAGCAGTTGTGGCTTGGTGCCTGATGCAACTCATCATCATATTTGTTTCAAGTTTTATATGGTCTCTGGCTTGCCCTGCCTCATATTTCACACACTCGTGTCCATTTTTAAATATGACACCAGCATGTAAACACACACACACACACACACACACACACACACACAGAGTACCCATATGGGATTTCATGCAATTGGTGTTCTATTTAAACTAAGTAGACACCTACAAACAGGTTTAAATGTGACACGAAGTACATAAACCTCACACGGGTAATGTTTTCTTTATGCTTCTTTATATGCCTGGCCTCATGTTTAATCAGGCAAAAAGGACTTGGGCTAAAACCTGTTCTTTTTAATTTTTGAAGTGATATGTGTGCTTACTGATTGCATTTCACAAGAAGCTGCCTTCACTAATTTTTAATGTTAAAGTGTACTTGCAAATGAAGTTGCTCTGTGCATCTGTCTGTGAGAAACCTGTACCCCCACACTCTGTCGGCCACTATACTAGCCAGCTCTCAAATTATGTAGGCATGTTGTTGGCATCCATCTGTCTTGAGAGACAATGGAAGAGCGCACCAATGGGGGTAAATTCAAACTGCTGGAGAGTTACAGTGCCTACTGTTGCTGTAGAGACCAATATGGGAGAGAGATGTTTTATAGCAGCTGGAGCAGATGAAGGTGTCCAGTTTCACTGTTACAGATGCACCATGGCATTTTTTCTCTCTGCTCTTCTCCCTGTGGTCATGTAGGCTTATATGTATTTATTTATAAAATTATAAACCACTTGATTAAAAAAATCCATGGGCAATGTAGAAATAACATTATATATATGCATGGCTAACATAAATTTTGGTAATTTTCACTACAAACTCTCAAACTTCATAGTTAGTATTGATCTAGAAATATTTCACCCCATCAACTATGATATTTTCAAAGAACCACTGAGTGTTATCATCCTACTGGAGGAAAAGGGCAGAATATTAAATATTGGTTATATAACCATCAAATACTTGAAGTGGAACCAAACTATCAAATGCCAAAGACAGCCTGTCAATTTGCAATGAATTATATTGTATATTAATAATTCACACACACTCTGTAACATCTGCAGCACTAAGATTTATAATGGCAAGCATATTTTATCACTTATTTCAATGGCTGTCAAGTTAAAACTTAAATGCCTCCCTTTCAAAACTATACTTCTCAATTGGGGAGGGCAGTTTGAAGGGACAAAACATACAGCTAATGTATTGTAACTGCCAAACTCCACAATCCAAAAGTGGGTTAGCAGCACTTACTTAACTTGTTGAGTTGACAGTAAAGGGCACAGAGGGAACAAACTGGAAGGCAGGACAACATTAGTCAGAGTACTATTTAGGAACTTGCTATAAAAAAGTAAACTGCTGACATCATGAAGCATTTTTGACTCAGCAGTTCTCTCTTATCTGTTGCTTCACAGGTTGTGTAATAGTGATAGACAAATTCAACATGTAAATGTTGGCTCACATATCTGTTTCACTGTAAGCCAGCCTGCATTCCTTGCCAATGAAGTGGGCAATAGGTTATTATTTAACAGTAATATATCCACATGTCATGGAAATGAGCACAAAACTAAAAATCTCTAGGTAAGACACATCAAAAAGAAATCTTAATACAAAGCAGAATTCAAGGGATCATGAACATTAAAACGAAAATGACTATCCAATCAGATCAGCTCATGGGGGGGAAATGCAAGAAAGCTGAATTCCAGCATTTACTGGAAAGTTACGATTCATCTCAAATATGATCAACACCAGATGCTTCAAAAGGTAGGAAAGTGTGCATCTAATAATTTAACAAAATACAGGTAATCTCCTACATTGACAGAAGATGTATAACTGAAGCCATACTATCCATGTTCAGAAAAGCCTGTTGTAATTGGTGCACCAACTGAAGCTGGACATAGGCACTCTTAGCCATTAAAGTCACTTGGGACACAAATGTCAATAATGTTCTAGGAACAACCTACAAACTACAAACCTGCTCCTCCAAGGGGAGGTAATATGGTAATAGGGAAAAAACAGGAGTGGCCAGTCATGCAAGAAAGACTAGAATCATTTATTTGTTCTAATGTCAAACAACAGTATGCTATGTACCAGCCCCACAGTCCTTTCCACCCATTAAAGGAGAGAACCCAATTTAAAGTGCCAACAACCATGCAACACAACAATATAAGCAGGCATTGGCACAGCCTCTACCCTCCCCCCCCTGCCCCCACAACACCCAGATGTCCACAAACAACAGTAAGGGTACAGTGAGGAGACTGCGAACAAAGAAGTCTCTGATCAAGCCCCAGGCCACTGTGGATCCCAGGAAGTCAAAAAGCAATACCAAATAGCTTCTATCAATGCAAGCTCTTGCCCTATAGAAGAAGCACTCTGGAGGAAGAGGTATGGTTCAGTAGTAAAACACATGTTTGCATACAAAAGGTACCAGGTTCAATCCCTGGCATCTCCAGGTAGGACCGAGAGAGGCTGCCATTTGAAAACCTGTAAAGTTGCTGCCAGTCAGTGTAGGCAATTCTGAGCTAGAAAGACCTACGGTTTCACTCAGTATAGGGCAGCATCCTGTTTCCTTAAGGTTGAACTCTCTCTCTTTTCTTTTTTTAAAAATAATATTTATTGAGAATTTAAAATTGCAGAGAAAAAAGAAGGGAGAAACAAGAGGGGGAAAAAAAGAAAAAATAGACAAAAATAGCAATTAAACAATACACATCAATAAAAACCAAAATCAAAGAGAAAAAACAAAACACACAATACATCAAAATCAAAAAGCAAAAATAAACAAACTAATTAAAAACAAATCCAATATTCCCAAATCCTTAACTTTCATTAACTTATTTCATCGACCTCCTCACACCTCCCTTTTCTGTATTCTAGTTATTAATTTCCTTAAGGTTGAACTCTCAGTAGTTATTAGTGCACTAGCTTATATGGCTTATGTTATGCTTCCTTCAGATTGCTTGCTCAGTTGAGTTGCCAACTTGGAAGAAGTAGAATCTTGGATTGGACATGCTTACAATATTCAATTCTCTACTCCTTTCTTCTCATGCTTTTAGGCTTTTGACTAGGGAATAATCAAGTAGCTAAGGTTTTGCCTTTAGTCCTTTGAATATTCAAGTTCAATAAAAAGGAGACTTCCAAAAATCAGCACAATGTCTTCATTCCCAAGGAGTTATTTTTAAATCACTGCTCTGAAACCACCACTATAGCTGAGCTGCTGCTCTCAAGACAGTCTGAATTACAATTCTCATCATTTTTACTGGCTAAACTGGCAGGAACTGAGAGATGGAGTCCACCATGCATGGAGTGCACAAGGTTTGGGGGAAGGCCATTGTAAGGAGCAGTTGAAAATGGCTCAAGAGGAAATAGACAAGGTGTGAAGGGGATACAGAAAAACGCTGGTTTGATGTCATTGTCTCCAAATTTGCATTTAATCACTACCACCCCCATCACTACTTGGGCAAGGTGATAGATAAGGTTTTAGTGGGATAGCTTCATGCATGCTTAGATGAAACAGTGTATCTAGACCTGTGCTTCCTAACCTGGGGCACACACCCCACAGGGGGGCAATTTGATTTTTAAGGGGGACAATTTGAGAATGAGTTATTAACAGTTAATGGCCTTTTAGGCTTCCTCCACTGAAAAGGAGTTCACTTTTTGAATAATAAGAATTATATGTCATGGGGGGGGAATCAGGATTTTAGAGATGCTTAGGTGAGGCATGGCCAAAAAAAGGTTGGGAACCACTGAACTAGACCCATTTAAATCTGCATTCAGTCCTGGTTTTGCAATCAAAACTGCCTTGGTCACCTGGTTAATGGCATTTGTTAGGGAAGAGGACAACCCTATTGATATCAATAACCTGCTCTAGATGCAGTTGCACTCCCCCTGGAAGAGCAGGTTTGTAGTTTGCAGGTCGCTTCTAGAACCATTATGGACATTATTATTATGAACATTTGTGTCCCAAGTGACTTTAATGGCTAAGAGTGCTTATGTCCAGCTTCAGTTGGTGCACCAATTACAACAGGCTTTTCTGAACAGGGATAGTATGGCTTCAGGTATCCATTCTCTGTCAACTTCCAGAATAGACCATTGTAATGTACTTGATGTGGACCTGCTGCAGGATGCTGCAGTCAATGTATTGATGTGAGCAGCAAGTTGGACATGTATAGCTTTTATTCTTCAACTGATTGCAGGTCTAATTCAAGGTCCAATTCCATAAAAATCAATTATCAATGCAATATTGAAACAACAAAAAATAAAATAAAACAATGAGATGTCATAATTCATTAAGAGACTTGGGGCATCTTGTGAACATTTCAGAGCTGACATACACAATCAAGATTTAGAGGTCTGAACTCCGCCTATACAACCAAGAACATTAGATTCCTTTTGCTCACTGTATTGTCAGTACTTTTCTTTCTAAGCTGTACATTCCATTAAACAGAGATGACCTGCTCTGCTAGTGTGTGTGCAATAAATTATCCCACAATCAAAGTAAGGAGAGCAAGGCGTTCCTGACCTAGACAGTGTAAACATTCAAGGGGAAGGTGTCCTCAGCATTATCTGTCAGAAATAAACTGTCATGCAAAACGGCCCTCAGCATGTTGCCCTTGGAACCAATGAAAGCAACACTACCCAATAGAGTTTTGCAGCGGAGTTCAAATTACAAGTCCTATTAGCAAAATGTTAAGGAACCAGAGGGTACAGTAGCGGCCCTGAAAGTCAATCCTGCAAACTAGGTGTAAAAGCATCCAGAAAATATATTTCCATATACAATTTCTTCTGGAGGGGAGGTGGAGAGAGAGAGGGAGAGAGAGAGAGAGAGACGAGGGACTCTTTTCCCCTATATAAAAATACAGGTGTCCAGCTTCAGTTTTCCAGAAGTGTGTGTGTGTCACAGATTGGCCACAGATTGCCATCTTTTATTTTTCTGGCAGAGCTTCTGCAGTCTGGGAAAAAAACCAACTGCATGGCGAGGACAAATGCAATTGGTGCAGCTCTTCCGTTCAACGCCTGCCCATACTGGGACCGTCTGCACCTGTTGAATTCCTACCTGCCATGCAGCTGCCAGAAGCCCCCAGGCCACTGCCTGGGCGAGGGTCGGAGGTGGCGGGGTGGGAGGCTGGGGGACGAGGTCGGGACGTTATTTCATGCCTGCCTTCCCTCCCGCCGCCGCCCTCTCCTCCCCCCATTTTCCCCAGCAGAGTCTCCCCCCCCCGCGCGCGCGCAGCACCTCCCCCCTCACCAGTCGCTAGATGAATGGGCTGGGACGGTCGCAAGAGGCCACGCGCTGGGAGCCGCGCAAGCTCATCCTCAGTGTCTCCGAAGGGCTACGGGCCGAGCCAGGGCGACTGACGGCGGAGGGGAGAGAGCGGAGCCCAAGGCAGCCAGGGAAGGAATCGGCCACGGCTGCAAAACCCTCACAGGAGGAGACGGAACAGGGCAGCTTGAGGACAGCGGAGCAAAGGAGCGCGCGATTGGGCGAAGCGCTGAGTATCGAGAGCGCCTATTGGCCGGCGGGAGCCAACGCTCCCGGGAGCCAGAAGCTGTAAGGGGCTGACGCGCAATAGGCCCTCTCCGGGCAGGAGGGAGGGCGAAGAGTCCCCCAGGAGGGGAAGGGCTGAGGGAAGGCTTCCCTCGCCGAGTCGCCGCCGCTGCAACCGGTCGGGTTGCAAGCGAAGCGTGCGGCGGCGGTTGTTTCCCCCGAAGCCAAGCCCCTTTAAATAGCTTTAAACTGCCCCGGGCAAAGCAGCACAGGCAGCAGTTCGGAGAGAGCGCAACCTTGTGCGTGTTTGCTTAGGTGCGGGGTCTGTCAAAAGGGGACTTGCTCTTCAGGCTTGGGCTCTAGTGAACCACTTTCGCCGTTTGCTGCGGAGCCGCCACTTCTTGTTTCAATGGGTGTCGCCTCAGGAAAACTGCGCACCCCTCCTGTCTTAAGTCCCTTCAGGAGTAAGACCTATATATATATATACACACACATATATATATACATACACACACACACACACAGACACACCCCACACACAGGGTTCAGATCAAGGTGCAGAGAGAGGATTGCAAACTTCCACTGGCTCGAAGGAAACCAGGAAGGCTAGCCTTAGGAGCTATAAAACACTCTAATTTTAACCGGACTTCTTTGGTGACCTTCTTGGGGGGGAACATGACTCATGCAAAATGCGGACTGCATTTGTAGAAGGAAATCGTTGGTGGCACACAGCGGCCACACCCTCAAGCTTTTGGTGTTGAGCCCCTGCAAGAGCTTTTGAAAAGGCTGACGAGAAAATTAGTAGATAGAGAGTGTTTCTGAGGTCAGAATTAGCACTGGGGTGTAGAAGAACACACTGTGGAAATAGATCTGAAAAATGAAGCATCTGTGTATAGCATTGCATCAGAGGTGCTTTTCCGATGGCTTTAAAAGGCCCGTTTCAGCTATTTCGGTAATCTTCGTTCAAGGTTAAAAAAAGATATAGTACAATAGATATCAAGCCATGGCGAAAACCACTGGGGTGATAATTATTTTTGTTTTTATATACAGAAAGACATGCACAGAGCAACTCGTTTCATGCCATAGACCACATTACTGGCAAACCGTAGAGCATTTTAGGTTAATGCACAACCAGGTCCTCATTCCTTGATGACTTTGCAGGCGAATGTGTGAACAGATTTACCTTACTCAGCTTATCTTTTCAGCAGTGCCAATTGCTGTGATATTAAAATCAAAGCTATAGTGGCACACTTGGATCAGTCCCATGTATGTACATCACTTCCTTCAATAAAGCCTATTAATTTTGGTCAATGCTGTTGATTAAAGCTAAATCGATCTAGATTTGTTTATGTAAATAGGAAAACAAGACATCAAACCTGCCCTTTTCTAAGTAAATAAATACTGTTCCTTTTGCTGTTCAAATTTCATACATTTCAGTGAAGATATCTGCCACACCTGCATATATGATCATTCACCCTCCAGCATTTTTATTATTTTTAATTTCTAATTCCCTGTCATCTTTTGGATCAAAAAAGGCCCAGCCTCCAGCCAAGAAATCCCACTGTTGTTTATGTTAAAAAATGGGGCTAATCAGAGTTTTCAAGGCCAATAAGGTAAGGAAGGATCTTCATAGATGCGCAAGCAATTGGTAAGGGAAAATTCATTTTTTTGCCACTAGGTGTCACTATTGAGATATAGGTCCTCAAATTCAGCGTTGATGAAACACAGCAGTGTGTTTGGAATTGTTAAAAATGCTTATTAAAAGTACCTGTTTTCCACTTTTTGGTGCAGAACTAATGTTAGATGCTATAGCAAAAAAAAACAACCCAGTGAAATACAGTAATAAATTTATGAACACATTTAATTTGCCATTCCAGCATATATTGAAAAAAGTGGCCTTTCCTGTTAGCACCATACTCATGCTAGCCTTGCAATGTTTGCCACTTAACCACTTCTCTGCAACCATACTTGCTGAGCTAGCTTGAAAGGATGAAAGCATCTCAATTTCCCGTCACAAAATATTAGAGATTGAGGGTTGGGTAATGTGATATATCCACACAAGAGAAGCATTAGCTTGAGAAAAGGTCCTCTGAATCCTACACAATAGATTAATAACTGCGCAGATATTGCATGAAGACAACCTGAAGGAGTTGCCTTCAGTTGTGCAATTCGTTATCTCCTTGATAAAGATGTCAGATGTCAAGGAGATAAAGAATTACACAACTGAAGGCAACCCTGGATCAAGAGGTTTGTAATGCTCTATGTTTTCAATGTGCTATAAGCTGCCCAGTGGGCGGGGTATAAAGAAAATCATCTTCTTAACAGGAATATGGAGAGGTCTGGGAGAGTGGGAATTACTTTCGTTAATTCAGGGATCCAATTAACACTAGTGCATACTATATCAATATCTGGCCAACATAACAACAATAATTGGCCCAGTGAGATGGAATGAATTATGACCAGCAATAAAAACCACAGACTCAGAATTGTAACTGGTGTAAAATGCTTTGAAACATGATATTAGCATCCTCGCTGATGACTTTCAAGTGCTGCTCGGATATCTTTTTATACTGAGACCTATGCAGTTGTCCAAACTTTCTTGATCAGCCAGTCATTTTAATTATTATTTTAATTTGTTGTAGTATATATGTTTTATTGTATATACTGTTATATACTGCCTTGATATTTTATTTAAGTTGGCAGCAAGCAAATATTATAATAAATAAATATGACATCTGCATGAAATAAAGCTACTTAAAACAATATAGTAGAAAATAATATATGTATGGTTTCATAATAAGAGTAAATCATGGTAATATCATTAGTTTAAAAATGGCAATTGCATTAACAAAGCAATCAAAGTCACTAAACATTGTTAAAATAGTCTCCTAATGCCCTTCAGCCCATCTAGTTGTGAAACAGAAGTTATAAATTCACAAGCATATCCACAGGTTGGAATAAAGTTCACAGTTACCAGTCTGGGGCAGTACATATTGTGCTCTTTGCCTAAGCAGAACAGAGCTGACTAGGCAGCAGGTTGCAGGAAGGAGTGTGAGGAGACAGAAAATAATTCTCTATACACTTTACTGTATATTGATCAGGAACTGAACCAGGAGATGGACTTTCCCATCATTAGCATTAATGCCATTCTTAATGTAGCCCTAAGACTATGAATTACCAAAATCAAGCAGTAATGAGACTAATGTAACAGGGACCCTTGCTTGATCAGCAAGGCAACTGTGACACACAACAGCACTGATTTTTCCAAAACATGCCATGGTTTCTCCTTTGTTTTGGTTTCATGGCTGTTGCCTTCTTCAGGTAGATAAGATCTCATAATGCTGACAACCTTGGGTTACCTTCCAATCGTATCATCCTGAAGAATGTCAAGGTCTCACATAACCAGCAGCGAAGTTGACTAAGCAGCACAAAAGTGACAGAGTTACACATGCCATCTATTTCATGGCTGCTGCACCGTGTGCTTGAAGTTCGCTGTAGTTTCTGATTCTAGAGGCCTAGCAAGGTCCATTTTAACAACTTTCAACTGCATATGTTTAGGACCCAGCTGTAACAAGATACATAGTGATCTTCCTGACCCTTTTGGCATAGTGTGCATGCTCATCTTTCTAATTACTCCTTGCTGAACATCTGCCCAGGAATGTTGTTGAGTCTTGAATAATTTTCCATCACCTCTCTGCACCACTCATATTTCACCTGGGCTCAGCTGTGTTGTGCCCCTAACTGTACAGATGGAATTGGACTGAATTAGGGAAGCCCCAGGACATAACATGATCCTGGGTGCTCATACCATCAGACAGTGTCATTCATTTAAGTACACGGGGCTTAATTTTTGCAAAAATGGTTTTATGGCACATTCATTTTGAGGCAATTAAAATTTAGTTTTCGATCACCCACTGTGGCAGATGACCCTTGCTCTGAAAAGCGTGGTCAAAATTAAAGGGTTCAGGAACTCAGACAGGACCAAATTTCATGAAATCATACACAAACTTTACTAAAACTAAACTCTACAGGAGAGAAAAGCTCCAAATAATTACACAGATTAAAATAGCTTGGAAGGTAAGAAAACAACAAACACTAACCTATCCAGCTAATTAACATAAACGCTTACACTTAAATCTCAGTAGGCTGAGCAACAGAACAAGATGCTATCAAAAGCCCAAATAGACGCTGACCTCGGCTTTGCTGGCTCCCACCAATCCAGGTTTTATGGGAACTTAGACCATGGATGTTCACCTCCTCTACCCAATTACCTTGTGACACTGGCCTTTAAGCCTTAATGGGAGACAGCTGCATGTAACCTCTTATTTCTGAGGTTCTAAGACATTCCCATAAACCAGTCTTAAATGGGCGACATCACCACACCCGCATGAGGTTACTATCACGTAATAAGAGTGTGCATAAATATCACTCTAATAATCTAATAATACTGTATTAAGATTAAATCTGACTATAAAAAGGCTGCTTACCTGTGAGAATTTTAATCCCCTCCGCATTAAATGTATTCACTCAGCTTCAACTTTATGCCCACAGAAATAACTGACCACTAAATGCTTTTAATAAGCTAACAAATAACCGTCTTCGTATATGCAGATCAGGCAAGATAAAAACAAACAAAACATTGTGGTATTGCCTTTTGTACATCTCACGTAAGGATAGATTCTTCTATTCATTTCAGAATTTTCTAGGTGGTCAATCAGACGATTTCAAAATTAAATGGCCGCTGGTCAGTATAGGCAAGTCTGTTACCAACAGGGAACCATTATTTGTTCTAGCAGTGAGTAACTAATAATAGTGAGTTAGAGACTAATTGTTTTGATCTGAAACTGCCAAGGGGATTTATTATTATTTAAATGGTTTGGGGAAACTCTGCAGTTTTAAGTTTTTAACAAATTGTATTTGTGAAAATGTATCTGCTGAACAAATGTCTTTGATTATCTTTTTTGTTTCTGAGAGTTACATTGTAATAGCCATTGACTACAAACAATAATGTCATGGGAGTTGACCTATGTCACTTTCTAATTTTGTCCCCAGGTAGAGACCATTTATTGAATAAAAACACAGACGATATTCAAGCAAGAACAATACTCTTTTTAAAATTTGACTTTACTGCGGTAAAGGTCGGTCCCATAAAGTGATGGGAACCGTAATGATCACAGGTTTTACACAGCTTTTATACTTTGTCACAAACATCTGCCACATGGGGATAATAATAGTATATACAAGGAGGGACTGTTGTGTGAAAAACTGAGATAGCATGAAACACTGTACATATACTCTAAAGAGGTGTGTAATTGCTTAATATTGGTATTATTACTAACACACATTCCCAGCTGAGAAATAGGGTTTGTGTGTGTGTATTTGCATACCATACAAAGAGAGAAACAAACTTTGTCATCAGTATAACAATACTGGGAAAACACTATGTGATTCAAGATTATGGGTTGATTCCTTTAATCACCTAGACCAAAATTTGTACATATAGGTAGGTATGTCATCACATTATCTAAAGCAGATCCAAGCTGGAATAATGGTTTGAATAACTAGATGCCAGCATAAGAAGATGATGATGATGATGATGAAGATTTTAACAGAGCCAGTGTTAAAGCTTTAATTACCAATACTTCAGAGGAATCTGGGGGGAAATGCTTCTGATTTATGTTTGCCATCATTCAGTCCTCTGTGATTTCTTGAGCTCTCCTGTCCACAGAATAAAAGGCAAAAACCTCCCACTCTTACAAGGTTCCCCAGATGCAAGTAGAATGTGTCATGTATTAAAGTATTTTCTTCATTTCAGTGAAATGTTCTTTTATCAATTACTTTAATTCCTTGCCTCTACCTCATTTGCCCAATGAAAAAGATTTTTCAGCAAGAGCATTTACTTTCATTTCCCGGAGTGTTTGGGGCATAGGAGGTAGCTGCAGTAGAAAGGGGTTTTAGAAAAATCCCTTTGGCACTTTTGCACAGGTAAGCCAAGAAGCAAGGCCATTCAGAATTAAGGAATTGGCAGAACTAAATTCAGGAGGTCAGCTCGTTAGCAACGCTGCTTCAGCACATGGAACAACAGGCTGCCATTAGAGATGGAGTTTTTAAAAAATTGCTTAATTAGTGTGGGCATGATAAATGGCCTTTGCAAACATGCTATATTTAAAAAGAGCAAAGAATGCAAACCCATATGTGGAGGTAATGAGCCACAGACAGCCCTTCTCTCCCACCTACAGTGGCCCCTTTCATTTTGGCACCAATGCATATAGATTCTTAGTTTACCCTTGGAGCCATCATTTAGAGGTAGAGCGCAGGCTTTGCATGCAAAAAGCCTGGCTTTTGATCCCTAGCATCTCTAGGAAGGTCTGAGAAAACACTCAGGTTTGAAACCCCGAAGAGCAGAGCCGCTGCCTTTCAGTGTATTTAATACTGAACTACGTGAACCAATTTTGTCAGGAGAAGGTTTGGACCTTAGTGTCTGCTGTGGGGTGCTTGTACCTTTCATTAAAGTAGCTCAGGAAAGAGATGCTTTTCCAATTTCTTTTCTATCATGATGGTTGTGCTGGTCTATTTGGTCCCAAAGTGGCACCATATTGTTCTGAGTCACTCCTGATGGCATGAGACTGTTGAAAAGAATTAAGCTCCAAATAGTTTAAATAATAATAATAATAATAATGTGTAGTGTTGCCAACTTGTAGTTCCAAGTTTTAAAAGATCTGTATTATTTGCATTATTGTACAGTCGTACTTTGGTTTTCAAACAGCTTAGTTCTTGAACGTTTTGGCTCCCGAATGCCGCAAACCTGGGAGTGTTCTGGTTTGAGAACTATTTTTAGAAGCCAATCGGAAGCCACACCTTGGTTTCTGAACGTTTTGGAAGTCAAGCAGACTTCTGGAACAGATTCCGTTTGAGAACCAAGGTACGACTGTACTTTTATTCTTGTATTGTTCTTTTTATCTATCTTTGATAGCAAACCAATGTGAATGGGCATTTGCCTAGAAAAGCAGCCTAAGAACATTTAAAATTTTGTTTACTTATTTATTTTAACCAGATTTATATAGCACTTAATCCATAAAGTGCCCTGTGTTTTATATAAAACAATACAAAATGTACATAATACTGCTAAAATCAAACATTTAAAATGGATGAACATAAAACTTCTCAAAATACAGTGGTGCCTCGCAAGACGAAAATAATCCTTTCCGCGAGTCTCTTCGTCTAGCGGTTTTTTCGTCTTGCGAAGCAACCCTATTAGCGGATTAGCGGTTTAGCGGCTATTAAAGGCTTAGCGGCTTAGTGGCTAAAAGGCTATTAGTGTCTTAGCGGCTTAGAAAAGGGGGGGGGGGGAAGCGAAAAAAATCGCAAGACTCGCAAGACATTTTCGTCTTGCGAAGCAAGCCCATAGGGAAATTCGTCTTGCGAAGCGCATTGAAAAACAGAAAACCCTTTCATCTAGCGGGTTTTTCGTCTTGCGAGGCATTCGTCTTGCGGGGCACCACTGTATAGGGTAAAAGATACAAAGGTTTGAAACATATGAACATACTGAAATTACATACATTAAATTACAAATAATAAATAAAAGCCAGAGTTCGTTTATTCTACCTCTGAAAAGTGGCCTGTATGCATTTAAATTAGCAGGCGCAAATTTACATTGTGGCTCTGAGTCCTTTAAGCAATGTCCCTGCATATAAGGAAATCGTAGAGAAAAGTTGAAGTGGGTAAGAAAAACTGCCCTACGAAAAACTCTCTTACCATCCATGTTGCAGTAAAGGAAGTTAAGAGCATATTCTGCCTGTGATTCAGCTTATGGAGAGTGTGCCAGCTGCCACAGTCCTTATTGCTGGCCCTCTGACGGAGTACATCACTTTTGGAGGTCACAAAATGTCATTCTGAGTAGTTACACTATAAAAAAAACTTCCATTTCTGTTATACTCAGTAAAAGACAGCATACAGAGGTTTAAAAGTTCACTCATTTAAAATAAATTAATTAAAAAGCATAGACCTGCTTGTTCCCTGCAGTCATGCCTTATAAGAGAGAAAGAAATAAGAAGGAAAAATGATAGAGACCTCACAAATAAATCGTAATTGCAGGCTTTATGTTAGAAATAGACAGGCCCCAAAGTGAGATAAAAATAAATCTGGTAGTTTAATGTTCTGAAATGAACACAAAAGGCTATCTTCAAGGAGTTCGGAGACAAGATGTTTTGAGGCACTGGTGGAGCTGGCTGGCACCGTAGCCGTTCAAACAGTTGATGAAGCACTTTGTCCCTATATGGAACTTGAAAGAGCAACACACGATTTGAAAAAAGACGTTTGGGACTTCAAAAACTGGGGCAGGAACTGCAGTAGTAGCTCAGGGGCAGAGCACATGCTTTCCCACATAGGAGATCCCTGATTCTAATCCCTGGCAGTTTTGTTTCACAAGATAGGATGGGAAAAAATATGAAAGACCTTGGTCAGTCAGAGCAGACAAAGGCTGGGACAAACAGTCCTGACAAGTAGTCCAGTTTAACTCCCTGCGTTCCTAAACACAGCAGAATAAAGCAAGTGCCTTAACAGACATGCTGACTAGAACCCTCTAGCATTCTGAGGGCCATCTGCGCTAGACAAGGAAAGCCG